CCAGAATACGTATATTCTGCTTGAGCGAGAATTAAAAAAAAAAAAACAGTTTTAGCCAACATTCGTCGACTTCACAAATCCTGACCTTAGTAGCTGGAAAGTTGAACTCTTGTGAACAAGGCATCAATTCCTCGAGTGAAACAGTATGCAGGAAATGAAACAATTACAACTTATTATTTGAAATATCAGCGTTGCTATAGTTTATCGCAGCACTTATATAATTAATATTTGAGCAAATAAATTACTCAGCACTTCTCGATGATCTGCAAGAATAACATAGCTTTGCAAAGCAAATTGTTTGGCAATACAGAGACAGGCTTCTTTTGTTCATAATTTTGACGCAAGCTTTATGTTATTACGCAGCATGAGCTAAAGCTGTATTGAGTGCGGCGTTTGATCGCACGTAGCATTTATATCCTGATGTTACAAGTTCAGATATTCGATGTTGGCGAGGCAAATACAGCAGCGCGCGGCTATTGGCTCACTGTCGACGCCGCTCCAAATGGCAAACGCTGCCGGAATCTTCAAGTGCAACTCCCACGTCCGTGAACGTAGAAGGTGACTTGGAACCGACAAACCTTCAAACAAAACAGCACGCACGAGTGCATGGCCCGTCCAATAGAGATTTTTATCAAGCGCTGGGAGATGGAAGAAAACAAAAATAACAACTCTAATGACTATTATACATATTTATTATAAAACAAAATTTTATCAACAAGGCATTTGATTTGAATGGATTACAACCGGATTTGACGTATTTGAGAGGAAGAATATAGGTTGATTAAAAAGGTTGCATTGGCCGGGAATTGAACCCGGGCCTCCCGCGTGGCAGGCGAGAATTCTACCACTGAACCACCAATGCTTGAAGATGGAGAGACTTTGTTCTGGTTATAACTGAAATGGCCTCAGTTGTACTTAATATGAAATAGTGTCAAGCCATACCTGCATTGAAAAATGATTAAACTTTTACTGTATTTATTATCACTCTTCACAACAAGACAAATGACTGTGAGTTACTAAACTGCCATACAGTGCCATGTTATCGACCTCTCAGCCGCGATCATCTCTGATGTTGATTGGTCTCGAGTTCGTTAATTAGAGACATCGCTCATTGTGCTGCTGCTCTGCTGTGCTGCTGCTCTGCCGTGCTGCTGCTCTGCTGTGCTGCTGCTCTGCCGTGCTGCTGCTCTGCCGTGCTGCTGCTCTACCGTGCTGCTGCTTGAACTGTAGCAGAGTGATGCTCTGCTGTGGCAGATTTGTGCTTTGCTATATGGAAGAGTAATGCACAACAACGGCATGACTAAAAAGACATTCCATGACCATTTTGCTTTAGATTGGTCGATACGCCAGTTTGGTCCTTAAATTATAATATTCCACTAATTAAATCAACGGGTTTGCGAAATGTTTTAAAACGTCCGTCGACATTTCCCTGAGGAAATGTCCCATAGAACGGGACTGGGGCGTCCCGTTCTATGGCGCAAAATTACACACAAGGTTGACAAAAAAATTTGCTGTCTTTTGCATTCGAATCTCTTCCTCCCAGATTAGAGTAATAAATGCGATTGGTAGATAATGTTTTGCGTTGCAACGATGTATTATTAAAACGCTAACAGGACAGATATTAACGCCAGTGTTTGTGGCTGTCTCTCATGACCAACAGTTCGATGTATACGTAAGGCTGAATTTATTTATCTACAAAAACTGCTTTTGTTTGATGTTTACGCAAATTGTTTGATGTTTACTCACGTTGTTCTTTTTAAGATGTATAACTATATTGATTCATTTGGACGAAGCATCATTCGTTGAGTACAATATAATTCGAGTGGTTCATTTTAGTGCAAATTCATTAGTATGAATGATTTTAGTACAACCATTCGAAAGATTCATGCATTTGAGTGCGACACATTCGTGCGAACCGTACGAGTAAAACATAATTCGAATAGTTCACTTGTATAAGGTACAATTGATATGAAATATCTTGTGTTATATATTGCGTTTAGTATCATCATGTGTCATCTTGACAAATGATTATCTTGCGTTTGGTATCATCATGCATCAGTCAACATCACGCATAAGCCGGCATCATGCGCAAGTCATTATGCACGCATGATATAGAATACTTGATCGTCATGCCCCCCGACAGCAACACGTCAGTTCTTATCACGAGATCTCCACACTCCGTTCCTCTTGCAGGAGGTACGTCGTACTTTGCATATTTTATGCCTCTGACATCCGCTTATTTTCTTTTTGAATTTAATAAATATTTTAACTCATTAGCAAACTTGATCCTTCTTAGCACATGTAAAGATTTTATGTTAAATTTGCATACAACATTTGCGTAGTGTTTTTTCTCTGGTTAAAAAAATTCATTGCCAGTTTGCTAGTTTTTTATCCCTTTTACTTGGTATATTTTGACAATTGTAATTTCTCTTTGCCAGCCTAGCTGCGACTTGCTTAGAATTTAGAGGTTTCTGAATTGCGTATTGAGAAGTTTTTCGAGATATTAAGACTGAATATATCGAACGGCACTTTCTTCGATGGACGCGTTCTACTGGTTCTTAAAATATTACCGACATTATTTTTTCTCATTCGTTAGCAGCAATACAGTTGTTATAATTTAATTTCGCAATTCGAAACTTCAGACTCTCTTACATGGTTGTTTTAATTTAACTGTGAGGGTGTTTGTGGTAATTTGATGATCTGCATAATGCGGTCTAATTATTGGCTGTTTGATATAGCGAGATAAAGGCGCTGCAGCTGCTGCGTGCAATCTCTCCTCTGCTCCTGATACCGAGGTGCTGAGGTGCTGTTCCTCAGCAGCTGCTGAGGTACTGTTCCTCAGCAGCTGCTGCCGGTGATAAGATGCGGTATATCGTTCTTTTATATAACGGTTTTATCGTTATGGAACTCAATGTTAAAATCATGAAGCTACCTGCTCTCACGCTTATTTGTCATATCCTATATTTCGTGTAATGGCGAGAAAAGGGAAGTTTGATTCTTTAAAAATTGTGCGTTTACATATAGGTATAGCATTTACAATATGTTGATCTGTTCTATTCATGATGGGAGAAAATTTTCATCTTCTTTTTGCTTTGTTACGCACAACTGCTATTGAAATACTTCGCTCTCATTCATGACAAATTCCTCGTGCTATTGACACGACGCGTTCAGCTGCATGATCGGAGATCTATCAATGCGTGTTGAATGATCGCAACGTTCGCTCGTCGGCTGATCGATCAAGGCGCGTTGAATGATCTAACCGTTCCGTTCGTCGGCTGATCGATCAAGGCGCGTTGAATGATCTTTGAAATGGACGTATTAAACGGTTGTTCAACATCGGTACCTCGACGACACTATTATTTTTGAGACTTAATTATGAAGAACAAGAATCATTTACTTAGACCGGAAGAATTTATTTACATGATAATCAAAACATGGATGATGCCGCAAGTTTTATTCAAATTTCATTTCATAGATGGCATGCAGTGCTGATATGATTAGATGTGTTAATGCTAAGCACATCCTCTATAGATGGCAAACATTATTCTTATGATTAAATGATATACCGAACACATCAACGCAAAAGAGCAATGCCGCTTCTTTGCATTCTGCCAAAAAATAAGAAATAGAAATAGTTAAGTTCATGAAATATTTTAAATTATTGGAAGTTTAATGCAAACAAAGCTAATTTCGTGATGTAATTGACGAAAATTGCTTTCCTACGTTGGGAAATTTGCAGAACGAATCGTTCATAATTATTTTGTTACGGGCTCAGTAATTTATTAACCCTTAAATTTGTCTATTGAATCACCCTATCACAAAATGATCGAAATTATTAATTTTTTATTCATTTAAATTCTAGTTCATTGTCAGTGCTTGGCGACTCCGTCTCTCAGTGACTCTATAGCTCACTAAATTACTCATGCATGAGGTTCAGTTTATATAAAACACCGAGTTTTCACTCATATATTTCTAGAACGGGTATATGTACAATGCGTTAATTGTGCCGTGTTGTCCTCTCTTTAGAATCTAAAACATGGATGAATAAATCCCGGATGTGTGCAAAACCGGCAATGCGGAAAGCTCTTAATCAAAATGGAATGATTATTACCACAAAAATTATAATTATTGATATGTTTAAGTTGATGCTATTCCCTAACATCAGTTCAAGTGAAGTTCGTATTTAATTCGTCGGTGCAGCCAACGTTTCATCTCCCGGTTATAATTACTGGCTACATCCATTTGCACTTCAGTCGCCGTATTCTGTAGAAGTCAATATAGTCGAGTGCTGCAATACACGAGTGTTTGGTTTCATCTTGATGAGTTACCCTGAACCTTACTGTTACCACTAAACCAGCGCTCGCGCTCCAGTGCCAACGCAATTATCTAACTCCGGCATTGTCCGGGATTTCTCATCTCGCCGACTGCTGTAGTCAGGTCTGCGTTATAGATTATGTAAGGGCGACATGAGCGAAATTCCTTTGATTGTTTAAAGGCTTGGGAAACGTCAAACGAGACTTGATATTGTAATTAAAATATCCTCAGACGAAGACCTAAATTGAAGAAAGTTATTCGTTGTGAAGATTCTCGAAATCCTGCATGCCGGGGTCGATGAAAACTTTGAATTTTGTATGAGATTAGAACTCGTAATAATTTGAGTTAATGGTGTCTGACTCTGACTATAAGTAAGTTAAAGTTTCCTACTAATATAATGAAGTTACTTTCAATGTACAAGAAAATATCGACAATGTCCAGGAATATTTCAAAACATTTTAAAAGTTTCTTCCCCTCGATGGCTGTGCGTCGCGCATGCCTCTAATAATCAATCGAATCTACAAGTATATTTCAGAGGACTTATATTTATATTATGACGACTAGTTTATCCATTTAATCAGATGATTGTCGGGTTAAATGACTGAAGCGGTTAAATTATTTCTTGGTTTCTTGATTGACATTCGAATTTCGATTATCTAATTTCACTGTTTTTTTTTTTGTTTTCAGGTAAAGTTTGACTCAGTGGCTAGGTCTCAAAAGTTGATGTGATATGGATACTGAATCGTTAGGTAGTTATGAAAAGTGATCTACAATGCAATGATATTAAGAAAGTCAACATAGCAGGAACTATTATGTACAAAATACAATCTTTTAACCCAAACGTCAAGATAAACTGATACAAAATATTGCAAAATCACCACTAATCGCCATCGCAGAAAATTATTTTTAACGCGTTAATTGTTTCGAATCTGGTGTGTAATCTTTATTCTATTATCTCAGTGCGGTAAATCTTTACTGTAGGCTGGTGAGCATAATCGTGTCGTATTTGCCGTTGTTATTATCACCATTTTATTATTTGCAATGGTCGTTTGTAAAATCTTGAAGTAAGAACGTCCTGCATTTACTAGCAACAACAAAGAAGAGCGCAGTTCTCGGGATGTGATGGGGCTGTTTTACCCCTATTCGGAAGAGTCACCTGGGGCTGCTTGCTCCCCAGGGGAGCCATTCCCCAACAACAGGTGTCGGGGCAGCTCTCAGAACTTTGCTCGCGTACTCTATACAGCTTTTCACGAGCGATTCTTGAGGGAGGCGAGATATTCTGTGGCGAGTCATGGCTCTTGGCAAGATACGAGTGGAGAGCCAGGCTATCCTGGATACCTGTGTGATGTTGGATACTTGTGTGACGTAGCTGACTACAGTTTGACCGACAAAATTGATGTTGGAAGTGAAGTTTTGACCGACAAAATTGATGTTGAAAGTGAAGTTAACTGTGGATTGCTTGTGGTTAAACACTTATTTAAGTCAGCAAACAAGAAAAGTATTCACATGATAATTTTAATCATTTCCAAAAAATCACCAGTTTATCAGAGAGATAATTTTCTCGCTCTATGGCAAATGATTGATGTTGATTCAAAATGTTTGGAGAGAAGTAAGGTTCCTGCCATTTGTCACCGTTATTGTGGTACGTCCTCTGTTCTGGGGCCTTTACCTGGGAACTCGCAATGTCGCCACACTCGTCGTAATCCAACTGAAAGATCTCGTCGTCGTCGACGATGCCGTAGAGCTTCCGTTGCACGCCACTTAGCCATTATAAATAACTCCATTTCGTGCAAAGACGAAACGATATTCGACAAATTGAGCATTAAGCAAGATGTTTCTGTGCTCAAATCTCTATGTGAGGTCGATCGACTTCAAGAAAATTCGAAGCAAGCACCTAATGTTCACGAGCACCTCCCCTCCGTTGATCGGACACTTTCCTGCCTCTCCAGTGCTTCTGTTCACGGCTGCGTTTATAATATTATGAATAAATCTGTCTTTTTATCATATCTTGAGTCTCAGTCACACTTGAAATTAAACATGGGAATGGAACGCCGATTTATAAAATTTGTGTCGCGTGATCCCCAAAGCTCATTCCTATATTCTCTCACTACATCCAATGTCACAGAACCTGTAACTTCACCAGTAAGAGTGACCGCATCTAACAAACAGTCAACGACTGCCGTATCGCATGATAAAGTCGCCTGTTATACACTCCACAATACCAGTAACCAAATGGACCACGAACCCGACCAGTCTCTTCCGGACACGTCGGTTTCTAAAAGATTAGCGAACATGCCCACATGTCAGCCACTGATGAAGTCACCAGCAGGCATGCCTGAATGTCACCCACTAATAAAGTTACCTGCGCAGCCAGCCTGGAAACGCTTATCAGGTAACTTGTCCGTCCCCGTCGCTCCCAGCGACGCTTCTTTTTCCGATCTCGACACCCCCTGCTGCCAGTTGACGGTTCTCAACCGCCGCTCGACGGTTCCCAGACAACGATCTTCTCGCGGGTTGCGACCTGGTCGGCAATTAAGCCCACTTCTAGTATCTCGAATACGACAAAATATCCTGGGCAGTAAAATGCAGTCTTTGGTCCACCACTGGATGGTCATCATCATGATGCTGCTGTTCCCCTGCATTGCTGCTGCTACCGCCATCAGAGGTGAGTGTGTTGCTGTTTATTCAGTTAATTCCTCAGTTATTAAAAAGATTTACACGTTACTGATGTGTTACAAGAGCTGAGTGATTGCTGCGGTATGTGTAGAGAGATATTTTTATATGTGGTGTTATAGGAGGTGAGTGATTGCTGTTGGGAGTGATTGCATGTTATGTTGATTACTGTGTTTTGTGATACGACGTGAGTTTGTCTCTGTGTAGTTGTGCAAAACATGACACTTTCTTGAGAATCAGATTGTGCATGCTACCAACGGATGATTCTGGTGACCCATGTCGAGCTACGCTTTGTTCCCATTATTTATTGAACTTTACACCATTCTGTATTAATTTCAGACGATTTATCATAGAAAATACAATTTAAGTTAATTTTCAGGACGTCGGCTCCCAATGTCTTGCGTTGCAGCTTAAAAATATTTCTTCTTAGGTGCAGCAACGTGAGCTTTTTCTTTTGCCACAAAATACTTCACGGTTTCTTCTTGCAGTGGACGCGTGAATTGCGTCGCCGATGAGCAGCTTCCGCGGTTTACTTTTTGCGGACGCAATCAAAGGGCGTCGCTTTTGCTCTTTAAAGATGTTGGTTCGTGTACGGCTTGGTCGGTCTTGTTTTATTTTCTGGCCAATCAAGACAGAAAAGTTCTTGGATCTTGGCACTTTGTAGCCAACCTGAGGTTGTGGCTCCAGAAAATAGGTACGTGTATATACGTAGGCACAAAATTAGGCCTGGAACATTTAAGTGTATTCAACTCATTAATTGTTTTGAGGGTTTCCCATCGAGCTGTAATGCATAAATTTGAGTATGAAGAGTGGACTGAACAATTTTATCAAATAATTGAAATTAAAAAGGAGTTCTATAGATGGTAAGTATCTACAGCATGTAGTAACGATAGAGCCGATGTTTGAAAATGGAAATCGTTCTGATTCTTCAAATTTCGATTCGGAGCAGATCGATGCGGTGTGCTAGCTAATCCGTTGCTTGAAGTCATTAGCATTTATTAGCTGGCCGTCGTGTCGATTTCAAATTATACTTCATTGTCATAGCTCGATATTCTGGAACCTAACTTTTATTTTTTTCATTCATTTTGTGTTGTGGTTTTGACGATGGTGGCAGCGAAATACGTTCATTTAATTGTTAGTCACATTTATTTGTATTCGGGATGTATTCTTGAATTTTTGCACTCAATTACTTATAAGCGAGCAGGATTCTGAATCCGCACTACAGATGAATAAGATGCTTTTTGGAACATTACTCTTGAAAAAAATTTTGCCATGCAAATCATCCACTTTTTTTACTATCGGCAGAAATCTTGCAAGCTCCTATAAATAGAAATTTCCCGCTTCTCGCAGATTCGAAGAAATCCTGCGGAGTTCCCATGGATAGTCGATATCAAATTTGTTTTCCACAAAATTTTGCCGAGTGAGCGAATTTACTTCTTGTTAATATACCTTATACATGGTCTTTGAAATTCTTCAGAATTATTTCTGTTTAAGCCATCAAACAAATCCTCTTGCCATCATTAAAGTATGTCGCTGTATGGTTTTAAGTGCTGATAAGAAGGGATTAAGTACGAGTGTTATGTAGATCATTCTAGTTTGCAGGAGATCTGGTGCGTCGTGTTTGTTAACGTGAATCTGGTCGACCAATACCACGTTATCGCCTGGAACTTCTGTCCTAGATAATAACGACACGACTCTTCCATTAGCCTTGCTATAAGAACTTCATCACTGAACCGATCTTGCTACGGACCAAAAGCCGTTCGACCATTCTAAAATAACACTTTGTTTTAATGATATTCCAGGAATATCGCGCTCTATCTGACGTTATGTGTCCGGTTTCCCGTTCGCACCAACCTTCCACGTCAAAAACCTGTTAGCTGTCAGGGATGTGTTGCGATTAATGACTTGGCGTTATCTGCGCCCCATGCTCTCGGACACGCCAGACTAGGCTGTTTGTGTGCCCAGGGACTCGGAGACGCGAGACTTGGTTATTTGTTTGTTCAGGACACTCGGAGATGCAATACCTGGCTCTTTTTGTGCGTAGGACAAACTTCGAGAAGGCAGATTAGGCTGTTTTTGTGTTCAGGGCAGACTCGAAGAGGTGAGACACAGGTTGTTTGTTTCTCCAGACGCCTGATTGACAAAGGACACACGCGAAGACGCGAGACTATATAGGCCGTTTGTGTGCTCAGGTCAGATTCGGTGACTCAATTGACTGCTTTTGTGCCCAAGACAGACTTGGAGAAGCCAGACTAGGCTGTTTGTTTGTTCAGGCCACGCGAAGACGCGAGACTAAGGCCATTTCTGTGCCCAGGACAGGCTCGGAGACTATAGGCTGTTTTGGTTGCCTTGGTGTCATACAGGACTGGATGGTGTGGTGCTCACGACACACATAAGGTGCCTTCAAGCTTATTCCAGATTAAATTTTAACCTAGTCAAACTTCACTAATCTTCCAGACACCAAGAACCGCACAAAAGTTTATGAATCAGACCGAACTGTCAACGAACTATTAGATCATATGTTGTCCGTCATTCGTTTTTGAAGTTGGTCTTCAACAACAATTACAACATCAGGATATGTTCGGTTGGTGCAATATGAGCAAAAATGGGGTCCATTCAAATTTGTAACGCGTTTGTAGCTTCTCATAATTTCTCCTCTAACTCTCATTGTTCTTCTTTTAATTTTGCCATATTATCAAGACATGTTCGTTGGACTCATTATTTTCTATGGGGTCGTGGCGCGGTAGCGGCGGTCGCTTCAAAATGACTCTAAGTGTGACGTTAATTACCCCGGTCTGGGCCCCCATATTCTTTATGATGGCGGGGCCCCGGGGGGGCGGCGCTGCTCAGGCAACTGAACAACTTCGACTTGCTGGATTCTTAGGATTGGGGACACTGGAATAAAATATTTTGAAGACACTATGGAGGTTAAAAATTTGCTGGACAATTTGTATTGCTTGTAAAATGTTAGCGAAGGATAATACTGTGAGATCCACGTATATAAGTTATAAATTAGTAAACTTGCTGATATATATACATGATAGATGGAAAGTGTTTCGTAACTCGAGAACATTTATTTTTGACTTTTTTCCGGGTGTCGGTTGAACGAAATATCGCCTCTTATTTCGACTCGAACGTGAAACCACCAGCATTTTTTCCCGACACGTAACCTGTGGACGTTCTCGCCTAATTTGAAAGCTTGGACCGCAGGTGAAGCTAATGTCAAGCAACCCACATAGTGAGAGGTATGGCGATCTAAGGACTCTAGTGTAGGCCGAGCTCACCGCGCTCTGTAAAGTGCGCTCAGTAGAGTGCACTGAGCTCACCGCGCTCAGTAGAGTTCACTGAGCTCACCGCGCTCAGTAGAGTGCACTGTGATAGTTGCCTCTGTGGCGCAATTGGTTAGCGCGTTCGGCTGTTAACCGAAAGGTTGGTGGTTCGAGCCCACCCAGGGGCGTCTCGTTTTGCTGATGCAAAATAAGGATTCCAGACAATGGTTAGCATTAACAGCTCAGTCTCGCTTTTCTGATGACGTCTGCATGGTTAGATACTTGATAAGGATTTCAGACATTGAATAGAATTGACAGTTTTAGTTATTGATCGTTAATGGCAGGACGAAGAAAATATCGGGTATGACTAACATTTAACGAAGAAGATTTAGGTTTGTAAAGTAAAAATTTTATGGTCTAAAATTTATTAGGAATCTAGTACAACATTTGCTTTTTAAATTCTTTTTGCTTTTTAAATTCTCGGTATAGGCTTGTTAAATATTGGATTTATTATTTTATGCGAAGTATTTCCTGATATTATTTGAGAATATAATTTTACTAAGAGTTTTGAAATTAGAATCTTATAGATAATATTTGAGGTAAGAATTGTGCTATCAGTTTTGAGATAAGAATTTTTAAAGATAATATTTGAGATTAAAATTTTCCTGTCAGTTTTGAGATGAGAATTCTATAGATAATATTCGAGGTTATAATCGTGCTGACAGTTCACTATCTGCCAGAGCCGCCGCGGCTGACTGTGCCGCACACATTCGAGGTGCTGACAGTGCCCCGCGGTGACGACCTCTCCCTCCCCTGCCCCCTCATCGCCACCCCCGCCCCCATCTTCGAGTGGTTCAAGGTCAGATCTTTACTTTAATGTTAATAACGCTTGCTTTGAATATGTCATATCCCTGCTATACGTCATACCCCTGCTGCTATCTCTGCTATATGTCATATCCCTGCTATATGTCATACCCCTGCTATATGTTATATCCCTGCTATATGTTATATCCCTGCTACATGTCATATCCCTGCTATACGTCATATCCCTGCTGCTATCTCTGCTATATGTCATATCCCTGCTATATGTCATATCCCTGCTATATTTCATATCCCTGCTATATGTCATATCCTGCTATATGTCATATCCCTGCTATGATATTCTCTGAGAATTTCCGTTCACGCTTAACAAAAACACTTGAAACGAGAAACAATTTAGGACCCAATTACGCGTAACACTCTCAGGAATATATATATCCATTATCACTCTCGTCAAGCACTCCTATAATCCTTCAAAGTACTCTACAAGAATTATCCTTCAAACTAGTTGTTTTTCCCCATTGTGTTCAGTATCCTCGGTGCAGGATTCGTGCAGCTATTTTCCCCACACGAGGCTCGTTAAACTGGACAATTGGTCGTTAGCGCTCTAGACTCCAACACGACCTATAATATCCTACACTTGTCTGTTGCTAGACTGCGCTCGTAGAACTGTTTGGTTTTGTTAGAACTGCAGCCTGCTTCCTTCCGACTGCACGGTGGAGTGTGGGGTCCTGTGGCGTCTTCAATATATTGTACGTTTAGAAGTCAATTCTGTAATCTGGTGTATTAACTGCAGAGTGAGCAGAAACGTATGGCATAGTTTGAAGTAAATGGTTATGTATTTCTTTAATTTGTGTCTTCGATAATATTTGTATTAGCTGTCATATAATGTGCACATTCCGCGCTAAATTGAAGTATTTTGATACTCATTCTGTCAAGAAACTGACATCAGCCTCTGCTAGAGAGTGGATAAAACACGACAGTATAGCAGCCCTCATGGCAGAAGACGAAAACATTTCTGTACTCGACAGGCTCTTGAATCTGAATATCTTCATACGTCAATGCTTAAACGATTTGAATCTTGAGGGTTTTCTGGGAAGAATTTTAAGCTAAGTGAACGAAGGACTGATTTTATCAAGTCGATTTATTTGATTGAGTTTCGAGCCAATCCTGAAAAGTTTGTAATTTTGAAAATTTTGTGCCTCAAGTATGCATTTACAGAAGTAAACAAATACTGGCACATAAACTGAATGATATTCCATAGATTCCTAATTAATTATATCCCATTGATTCCTAACTGCTGATACCACATTGATTCCTAACTGATTCTACCCCATTGATCTCTAACTGATGCTATCCCATTGATTCCTAACTGATGATATCCCATTGATCTCTAACTGATTATATCCCATTAATTCCTAACTGATGCTTCCCCATTGATTATTAACTAATGATGCCCCATTGATCCCTTATATACTGATGCTATCCCATTGATCCCTAACTGATGATACCCCCCATTGATTCCTAACTGATGCTATCCCATTGATCCGTAACTGATGATACGACCATTGATCCCTAACTGATGCTATCCCATTATTCCTGCCATTTCTGCACTGTTAGCAGCACTGTCATTTCACGCACAAGCGGCAGCTCCACGTCGTATGTTGGCTGCGATCAGCCTTGTTTGGAGGCGCCAAAAAGTGCCCGTTTTTCTGCACCGAGTTGCTGTGCCATTAATCCTGCGGCCTGGTGTCTGGGGAGCGAATCCTCCGCCTTCTTCGTTACCGAGCTTGTTTGGGCACCGTGCTTGCCTGCGCAGTAAATAGAGCTGCAAGCTATAGAACGTTGCTGCAACCAATAACATCAGACGCGGTATTGAGGCTTCTTCAATAACAATGCATATCGTTTCTTGAAGCCTGGCATAAGTTTGTAACATTTGAAATGGGATAAATAATTGTTTTGTACGGTAATACCTAGCATCATTTCAAGAAGTCCTGTGGTTTATGGTGTTTCATCAACGTAGGTCGATTCGTTTACCTGTATCAACGTGACGTCATAGCGTTGAGACGTGTGAGGAGTATGAGGAAATCCCAGAGTATTTTCTTCATATACTTGTTGTCTACAAATATACATGCAGATTTGCTATGTGCCTGTTCAGCAGAAGTTTAAATGACGAGAAAATTATAAATGAAGTAAATCCAGACAGAATTAATTTCACAGAAATTTTTTCAATTTTATCTCGACTATAGATCTTGCATGCGATTTTAATTCCCAGTTTTAATCTAAAACGAAACCTTTGCGTTCACGCAGGGCTTATTGTGCGTTTTACGTAATTAATTGCAGGCTCATTTTCCGTAAACATTCCTTACTGCATGTTTTATTGCCTTCTGTGCACCATATACTGTGTATTTTGTGTCGTTGAACGACAGTTACATTCGATAATTGAGCTTAGAAAGGAACCCGTTTCGGAAGGCTTGTTTTACCCCCTTGATATTGCTTTAAAATATCTTCGTTATAAATCACTGTAGTTGGATAATCTGCTGTCATTGCTGCAAGTTCTTTCAAACTGTGCAGCAAAGAAAATATCTGAAATAAGCACGGCAAAGAATGAATTGCTTCCTCGCAGACCCTGCACTTATTGACGTGTTCTGAAACTTTGTGTGTGTTTTTTGCTTGAAGTGAAATTTAAGGTCTTCGATATGTCTTGTTCGTAATTTTTTTATTGACATTACGGTATATCTTAATTTCTTGCTTTAATTGCACGCAATGCAGCCTGAGCTGCATTGCGTGCAATTATTATTTCGAACGCGTTGCAAAGCAGTGGAAATAGCATAACATTGTTGAGATAAGTTTGTTTCAAGTGCTTCTTGAACGTTTCAATCCATTTAATTGTGCAGTTAATTGTTGCACAACACGATTTTTTTCCAGTATTGAATTGTACGTACCTTGGCTTTAATATCTCTCTTCTGACAGTCAGACAATTTTATTTTTAGCGCATTTTCTTGTTTATGAAAAAAATGCACTATTGTGCTGGCCATGTCCGTCTGACTGTCTGTCCGTCCGTCTGTCCGTCCGTCCGTGACCTCAAGTTTTTGTCGACGAGAAAATGCGCTCTCTGTCACTCACTGCTGTGAGTACTGAGTTATATTTTTTTAGAAGTCTGCGCATTTATCCTTTTTGTGATGAAATTATTCAGTTTAAACTGTGATACGTAAATTTTCCGACTGAAATTTTTTTAAATTTAAAAGGATGCGCATGAGCAAGCGTTTTGCTGGAACATAGAAACTATTCAGTAAGTTGCCGACTGCGGATTTGTACGCTAATGCAACGCTCCAAAATATGGCCCAACTTCTGATTAACGACCAGAGCCTCTTCGCGTCGTCGACTTTTTCGCCTGAAAGTTTTTTTGCGTGCAATTTTGGGGCCCGCGGAGTATATCAGGAAAAATCCCGGCTTTGTTAGGATTTATCTCCAACTTTATGTGGCAAATTAATGTGTGCGGCCTGTGACAGTCGTTATTTAGGCTTTTTTTTAGGTTTATTGCTCCGTTAAATTCTGTCTTTACTGGAAATTATATTACACTCTCAAATTGTCCAAAACTCTGCGGGTGTTAAGCGCACAAATTCGTAGTTCTTGCACATTATAGCATTCAGCTTCTGACACATTTTCAAAGCATATTTGTGTAGAAGTTTAAAAATGCAAGTAATGTGGACGAACCCGAAATTTTGATTTCGTGTGCATTAATTTGGCTACTTCTCATTCCTCAGATGTCCAGAACTTATTCCCGAAATTAATTTAATTGTTTACACGTTCAGTTCATTACGAGCTATACATAAAAAGAAAATTTTCTCCAATTCTTTCAGTACGACGGCCGATAAACGCGCCAAAATTAGTCATTTCTTTTTGTGTACTGTTATAATTGTATTTATTTTTTATGAAGCTTTTTTTAATGAAGCAAAGGTACCTGTTATATACTATAGAGCCACACTTACCTTCACTCTGTAGCATGCGGCTCATAGCCCTTGACTAAGTTGCATGGCGCGCCAAAACCCTGGCTTGCCGCTCAATTTACAGGCAAGCGGGCCGGATAATTCAGTTTATGCATTAACTCCTGCGTTGCCGGATAGAGAAATGCGTGCCCGTGCTCTGTATGGCAAAGTGCTTCCGCAAAATCCCGGTCCCAAAAAATAAAAACGAATTATTACCGCAAAAAAGTGGCGTAACTTCTGCCTGAAATGTTCGCGACTTGCAATTCGTGTTTAAAATTGAGCAACCACATGCCTACGCGCCTCATTTGAATAAAGTACCGAGTATATGCCGGCTTTTTCGCTGGGGAAAGACCATGAACATTTTTTGAGTCCTTGACTGCGTTGTAATAAGTGTGAACATACGTTAATCGTTGTAAACATTCTCAATTTGGCTTGCTTTCACTTTTTACCATTTAGCGATCTGAATTATCACTTGAACATTTCTTCTCTCGGAATTTTCTCACGCACTCACGGAATTTTCTTGGATGAAACGTTTAAAGTAAAGAAATACATTTTGCTCACATTTATATTACAATAATCGAACGATTTCTTAATTAGGCCAGTATATATATAATCGACGTAGTACAAAATGCTTCGCAATACAAGAAAATGATGAATTATCGATGTCCGGATAGTCAATAGCCGCCATTATTGCATACTCTTTATTCTTATGATTGGACGCAGCTGTGAAGGCCGCATCCATTGGACACGATTACTCTGATCGCTTTATGACATGCCATTGCTCAGCGTCTTGATCCACGCAAGAGGTAACTTCCAGTAATGAAACTCTGTATGCAAATGTTATTTCTATATACTAGCCGTTACGCTTTAATTGCAGTATGGCCGTAATTTCATTGCCTTATTGGTTGTTTTTTCTCCCTGTTCATTATGATGAGCTCATTAATAATGAGCTTAATTCTCATTAATAAGCTCATTAATAATGAGCTTATCGGGGAGTACATGCATAATGAGTCATTATGCTACATTATGCATGTAGACCCCGCGCCTTATTAGCTGATGGTCGTTGGAATGATCGTTTTCTTTGTTTGAGGTTAACTTGATGTGCGAGGCTGTCTGCCTCAAACAGGTTTTATGCCTACAAAATTTTACGAACGTAACTATAGCAGAAAACAGAAAATATTATGAACTAGATTTGTTTTGGATTTACCGTTCATCTCCAGATTCTGTGAAATGTAAGCTAGCTGGATGAGAAATTTAAACTGGATCAGTAGGGAATTATTTAGTTTAGTAAAATTTCAATGCACAGTTTACGCTGATCGACACGTGAACTTCAAACATTCAATTATAGTTTTTGAAAAATCGATTTTTGATTAGAAATATTTTTCAATTAATCCTATACTAAAAATTGAGTAAAATCAAAGAGGCACCTTAATTTCTACCCAAGTGGCTTCTGGAGAACTGCAAGTCGTTAACAATGCGAATTTAGAACTCAGCTTCCTCAGTTGCAGGCATTGTTTTCACCAGGTATTAAATATATTAAGTCTACCAACGTTTATCAATCTTAATCAGTTCGGAAAACAAGTCTTTCGAACAAGTACCACAAACTTTGCTCAAATGAAGCCATCAAACGCAGTGTAGTAAATATAATATTGTAAAGTAAGTACTATACCATTGATTCATGCTCGGCTACCTGCCGGGCAGCGGTCGCCCACTTCAGCTTGCGCTCCCAGCCTCAGCGATTAATTATCCATGAGCATGGCCACAATTTGCGCTTATGTGACCTGTAATTAGTGCTCCGCTGCCTTCGTATAAATTGCTATGTCGCATGGCGGCCGAGCCTTCTTCCCACGGGACGAAGACTCGCTTCATCTACCACAGCATCGATTGCTTCACTGAATTACTGGCTTGACTTTTGGTTTTATTCACTTATTATATGATCAAATAAGATAAAACACAGGGTTTGTTTTTGTGAACGTTTGCTGTTTACGTGAAGCCTTGTGTAAATTTTGTTGACGTTTGTTGTTTATGTGAAGCCTTGTAATAATAAAAAAATTGAGGTCTAATTGTAATTTCCAACTGCATGGGAGTTAGATGAGAGTTCCATGCCAAGTGCTCTTTGTGACGGGATATCTCTTAATAGTGAACATCATTCTCGAGATTATTACCGGGGTGGGTACGGGATGTCAGGATTCGGTTGTCTAGGGTTTCGACTAGTGTTTTCCAGCCAGAACAATGCTGGATTAATCTGCTCGTGTGCAATAATTACTGAACATGTTGAATGCACCACTCGTCAAATTATGCGTCTGTTGAGTTCACTTATTTTCTCAATTTTTATTTGTACAACACTTCTCTTTAACTTCACTTCTTGTTTGTTTTCAGCTACAATCTTAGAATTGATGCTCAACACACTTCTATCTGTGCAATCGATTTGAAATTTTGCACACTTGCGCGAAGTTGGAGACAATGCATGAATCAATTGAGAGTATAAATAATTTTGAATATTTAATTTTTTAATTTAAAAAAATCGAAATTTTTAGCGCATTTTCTCATTTATGGAAAAAATGCACTATTGTGCTCGCCATGTCCGTCCGTCCGTCCGTCCGTCCGTCCGTCTGTCTGTCTGTCTGTCCGTGACCTCAAGTTTTCGTCGACGAGAAAATGCGCTCTCTGTCACTCACTGCAGTGAGTACTGAGTTATATTTTTTAATATATGGAAATGTCTCAATTTTTATTTGTACAACACTTATCTTTAACTTCACTTCTTGTTTGTTTTTCTGCTACATCCTTATAATTGATGCTCAACACACTTCTATCTGTGCCATCGATCTGAAATTTTGCACACTTGCGCTAAGTTGGGGACAATGCACGAATCAATTGAGAGTACAAATAATTTTGAACATTTAATTTTTGTAATTTAAAAAAATCTAATTTTTTTTAATATATGACAATAAAATTGGAAATTCATTGTACATGTGTAACGGAGACACTGGATTCTTTAGAAGTGTTTTCTTTAAAAAGTAATTTTTAAACGCTTATTTTATCAAAGGTACATAGCCTTTTCTTGGTTACTTTCTAATACCAGCTCACAATTATTGCTGTGCTTTTTTATCTTCCTGTCGTAGCGGCTTATTTACTTCTTTTTTTTGTATCATATATATAAAATTTTTCACTTCGTAAATATGCAGTTGATTGCTTCATTTTTTAAATAAACAGTGACGATGTATTTTCTTCAGTAGTATAAAAAAATCATTACCAGTCATCATTTTTTTCATGAATGTCTTTGTAGTCTTTGAGCAGTACCGTTGTCCACGTGTGAAATGTTGCCTTGAGAACGGTCTTGCACATCATTACAAGTGATTAATTTACTTAACCATAAAACTTGAGATTTTCATGAACTAACCCTAACCGTATCGTGGCTACCGATAATATGCTGGTGCGGCAGTTAAAGCAGCATGCGCACGCGCACAGTTCGGTTTGTTTTCTCAGCAGCTCGCGGGTGCGATGTTTCCTCTGGCAAGTGCTTAGGCTTGTTTGATTTTCCCTTTAACTTATGAGGTTGTTGAACTACACTGAAGACAGCTGTCACCTTGACTCAATTGCCACACATCTCAGTGGATCTCAGGTTTTCATATAATCTATAAATGTTAAAAAATATATAACTCGGTACTCATTGCAGTGAGTGACAGAGAGTGCATTTTCTCGTCGACGAAAACTTGAGGTCACGGACGGACGGACAGACAGACAGACAGACGGACATGGCGAGCACAATAGTGCATTTTTTCCATAAATGAAAAAAAGCGCTAAAAATCACGAATTTGTTTTTTAGACGAATCTGATTCCCATTCTCTTGAGCATATTCATCATTCGAACTAAATCATCAGCGCCGATGATACGAGAATGCCCTTTTTTCAACAAAATTTGCCGACTTGCAATCGGTGGCCGACCGAACAAAAATTCCTTCCTGATGCTGCAAGCGCCCATGAATTATTTAACCCGATTTGATGTATTCCTTCGCACGCTTAGATCAGACATTGTAATTGCTCCATTTTAATTCTTTATAACTGTTTTTACCCTATATTTGATGATAGCATAGCAAAGAAAACCCCAATTAAGCAAATTCACAAAATTTTCATGAAACCTTACTTGAAAAAAAACTAATTATGTTCACACGTTTTTTTTATTATTTCCTCTGTTGATTATGACTTGTATTCTAATAGGTTTTTGAAACTCACGTTGAAGCTGGTCTCTGAAACGTATGCATGCAGATGCGGTGAATTTGCATGCTTTCTCTACTTTCTCAAATTCTTGGAAAACTTGCGATTTAGGCAGACTAATGATATAAATACCAAGAGATTTATTCCTATGGATTTTATCAACTATGAGTTGCACGTGTTGTAGGCAGAAATTTGTACGACTTTCCCGCCAGTGTTTTTTTTCAACGCTTGTTTGACGACGAATTTAATGGAAAGGCCGACGTGTTGCGTGACTACGTATTAGCGTTCCGTGCAATCAGTGAACGCACGCGTGAAAGCTGTACAATAAACTATCAAGTTCTCACTTAATATGCGGCGGGACGGTCGGTCTCCAGCTGTGTTAAAAAATACTTCGGAAATCCTATATCCACCAACCTTTTGCATGCGAATCAGAGGCCGACGATCGGCCAGATATTAAGTGAAGAAGAGACGGCCAGGAATTTTACGTTGTTGGCCGCGACAGGCAAATACTTTCTTGAATATTTATCTGCTGCCGCAATTTACGTCCCTTGGAATTCCCACCTTCGGGAATTTATTTCCCCTGAAAATTTATCTCTTTTGATAATCAGGAGTGCGTTGGAGATTGCCGATCCTTAATATTGGTATGCAAATAACGAGCTGTAAATGCGCCGGCCCTTTAAGCTTGTCCTTCTGTAAAATATTGGCCCGTACATCACTGGTCTCTCAAACACTTATGGTTGGCCGCCGAAAGAACGCTTCTTGAGGGCTTCAACGTCGAGGATTACATTTAGTGTGCGATTCTGCATGCTCTGTTGCGCAACTTTTGGAATATAACGCGTATTTATTTTTCGCCTAATAAATGAATCGCATGGCTTCTAAATCCACTTGAACGTAAAAAATCTAATATAACTGCCAATTTTTTACGGGTTGTTTATAAACTTTCCGAGGATTATACACATTTCATTGCCCCGATGCAATAATTTTATCGCGATTCTCTATTTATTTAAATTTTGCGCCATTCAATGTTTGTATGGATTGAGCGCTCACTTTTCAAAGTAGGTATATTTTAATCAATGTTTTTCAACTTTCTCTTCTTGAAACCTTATTTTATTTTTCTGTCGTGTTTATTATTTTATACGATGAATGCTAACGTCATTTGTCTCACTCATTTATTTTTCATTTTGTGTTTATTTTTTAAGTATAAACTCTCTGTGTGATAGAATTCGACACCGCAATTGCCCATCGGACCATCGCTGCACCCCTCAATGTCTACCGACTCATTAACTTGATTATCTCTGATGGGTTTAATTAGGCCAGTATATATATAATCGACGTAGTACAAAATGCTTCGCAATACAAGAAAATGATGAATTATCGATGTCCGGATAGTCAATAGCCGTATTAACTTGATTATCTCTGATGGGTTTAATTAGGCCAGTAGTCGTTAAGTGTTATAAGATGAAAGAGCGTGACTTGCTACTTTCTCTTTCGTCTTCATGGAGTCACGCCTTGTTTGTTTAAACTGTTTTTGTATTGTTTTTTCCATGTTCTACGATAATTGATTCAATTTATTTTCATACTTTTGTTATGGTTTTAGTAGAATCTTGTGGTGCCTCAAGCAAGGCCTAAAAACCTTATAAAAATTTGGTTTGGTAAAAACCAGGCCTATTTTGTTACCTAACCACATGGCATATTGAAAGGTCTGTCCTTTTTATTACATAATAAGCGAATAGGATTACCTATAATTTGTTTTTCTATTGACAAAAAATCAATTATCAAATATTTTAATGCTTGAACTATACTCCAACAGGACGGAGAGAGCGTGCCGGACGACGCAGGCTGGGACAGAATATCTGTGTCGGAGTCGCTGCTGCGGATAAGAGATCTGCATTTTGAGGACAGAGGCCGCTACGTGTGCACGGCAGTTAACGGTTTCGGCAAACATAATTACACCTTCATCGTCAACGTCAACGGTGAGCGAACAAACGACAGAGCTTGATTATTAAAGCACTTGTAATGGTCTGTGGCTATTGCATCATTAAAGTACACGTCAATGGTCAGCAGATATCCTATATGCATATTGCATCAATGAAGTTTAAACTAAATTCGAGTGCAATAGTAGGCTTTTCATAACTTAATTATCTGGGGTCTAGGCTATCGGCGCTAGAAATTGCAATCGCGGACGTGCCGATTGACTTAGAGTTACAGGATGTCGGCGACGCAACCGGTTAAATTTTCCACTCGCCATATTACTTTATATTCTATTCTGATGAATTTCATAAAGTCTGAAAGTTGATTCTGATCTTATCCTGTGCTGCGATTATATTAAATTAGTTACTTGCATGAAGATTATTAATCAACTCCACTCCCTCAGATCCGCTGGCGCCGCCCGCCGTGAGGGACGACGACGAAGGAGCGCCCGTCCTCCTACAGGTGAGTGAAGCCTGAGCGCTCACTTTCTGCTCATTGTTGTTTTTTCTGGCTCATTCGACGCATTTTACTAAATAATTTCTGTTGATGGAAAAAAAGTATTTAAATCAAAATCGAAGTTAATGGCTTTGTGATTAATATAGGTATTTCTCCGAAACATGACGCCTCAGCAATACAAACATCTGTTCCATGGATGTTCGATGATTTTAATATAAATTAAAGCCTTTAAATTACCAATTATAGCCGTTGAATTTTATTTACGCCCACACTTTACCCATGCGTATTCGACTATCACCGAGTAATTCGTTGTGCCGAGCCTCGGACAGCGCTTGGATATTTTTAATGGATATAATTAATGCTTGGATATTTTTAACGCTTGAATATCATTAATGATTGGATATTTCTGACGCAGGTTCACCCACCATCACCTGGTCCCGTCATCACGATGATGGCAGGTCTCAGTCTCGCCCTGAAGTGTCGGGTCGCGGGACACCCCGAGCCTGAGGTCGTCTGGTATAAGGTCAGTTCACGGGAATATATTTCACTTGTCTGCATCTTCCAGTCAACTGCTGGCCATATATTAATTCAAATCTGATATTGAAATTTTTATTCGTTTCCGTTGTTGTAATTTTTTTAATTCTCTTTTTTTTAAATGCGTTATTGCTGCATATTTAATTTAAGTGCTGAGGAATGAAGAGCGCTGTGCTGGACCACCTCCGTCTTTGTCAAGTGCTGAGGAATGAAGAGCGCTATGCTGGATCACCTCCGTCTTTGTCAAGTGTTGAGGAATGATGAGCGCTGTGCTGGACCACCTTCGTCTTTGTTAAGTGCTGAGGAATGATGAGCGCTCTGCTGGACCACCCCCGTCTTTGTCAAGTGTTGAGGAATGATGAGCGCTGTGCTGGATCACCTCCATCTTTGTCAAGTGTTGAGGAATGAAGAGCGCTGTGCTGGATCATCGCCTATATAAGGACGCCTTCTTTTGTCATGCTTGGGCGCAGGTTCGGTGGTGTCAAGTCGTCGTATTCTGGGCCTTCGTCTATTCATTTGATGCATTTATTTTTGTTGTTGTCTTAATTATTTGTGTACTCCTGATGAATGCTTCATTATTCACCATATACTGATTATCGAAGCATTACTGGTGTGTTTTTGAGAGATGCATTCATGGTTTTATCTGCGATTACACGTACGAGTGTATGAATGATGTTGACGTCAACAATATTAAAGGAACACTCTGCTGCATGAAAGCGCTGAATTCTGTTACAGCATCATGACGAATACAGGATCAGCAATGATTATGCATTTATGTAAAATTTAATTAATTAAATTAGTGTAGCAAGCGTTAACAAATTTACAAATTTATAATTAATGCTTGTTTTAATTAGATAAATTTAGTACTCACAATTGAACTCTGTGAACTAGGCCAAATTTCGTCACGTGCATCCTTCATTTTTCAATATTAAGCTCATCATGTAAAGAAAATTCTGAAAGTTTTTTTCTCTATATTTTTGCTCCTCCGGTTTTCGGCTACAAACATTTTTGTGGCGTGCAGTGTCAGGCTCAGGGCTCCCGTTTGTTCAAGCCTTGACGCATCGCTCAAGTTTCAGTATCGCGGGCCCGCTAATTGTCCCGGCTTGCGCTCACTTTAAAAGCACCGCCTGAAATTGGTAACGGGAACCTCCAGGAATTTGCCCGAGCAAAACATCGTGCAATCCCGACATGTTGACCCGCTGACGTAGCGGCAAGCAGGCTCCATGATGTTATTGAATAAAATGTTTATTCGTTTTGATGTGTAATTCCACATGAAAGCTTGGTGACTTCATGCGTGTTGATGAGCGTGCCCTGAAATTTGAATTTTATTTGACGATTGGGCCATTATTCTATGAAAAAGCTCTTCTTCGCCAGAACCTGTGACGGCAAGCATGGGTGCATGTTCTTAAGTTTTACGTGGCCTGAAATGCTGCAGGAAGCAGATTATGATCAAATAAAGGCTCTATTTATAAAAAGAAATTTTATATAATATATATTTTTTATCTTGGAGAAACTTTAACTGAAAAAACGTTACTTCAGAACGTCAGAGCGAGAGTTTGACTAATTTTTTTAATTCAGAAACGGTTTTCTTGATATTTTTATTTAATTTTTGACTCACAATTCTGATACAAAAATTACGTTTGTATAGAATAATTTCACGTTAAAACAGATTATAACGATCACTGCCTGGATGCAGTGCTTTTGGTGGTGGTTGCCCCACCCCACATCCCCTGCCCGCGGCCAACACGAGTGTAATTACCGCAGGTTGGGGCTGAGTTGAGGCATAATTCAGAAAAGAGGTAATAATGAAGGCAGAGGGGAGAGGCTCGTGTGTCAGTAAGTGCGTTAAGTGACGTAGAGGCGCAGCGCTGCTCGGGATCAGCAGTGACTGGGAATTGATAATATAATAATAATATAATATGGCGGTTTCAGCGTTTATTAGGCCATAGGCCTCTCGCCGATTCTTAACATTGCAGAACATCCACAGATTGTTGCAGGCTTGAACTCGTAACTCACTGCTTCAAATTTTGCTTTGCTTAACCGCCCGGCCTCCTTGCCGATCGGCTGTTGTAATAGCAAATAAATAAATAAATTAATTAATTAATAGTTTAATAAATAATGTTTTGAATAACGTGAAGGTCAGTAAAGGAAAATATGTCTGAAGTTGCTGCCGGATCACCAGGCTGGCGGTAACACATCAGAACTGATCACACCAGGTTGTCTGTAATACATCAGAACTGATCACAGGCTCGTGGCAATACGTCAAAAAGTTCCTTGAAGACAAAATGCGTCGCGTCGTTCACGTCACCGCCATTAGCGTATTGCTCTCAACTCGCCGCGGCATCAGCACCCGAACTTTTCTGCCCCAACGCAGCACAAATTATTTAGAAAGTCAGGAGTGAACCATCGGCAACTGATAATTTACAACTGATGGTGATAACGGTCATGCACTGATGGTTCCCTCCTGATGGTAATAACAGTCACTGATGGTTCACTAGTGACGATGGTCTCGGCCATTGTTAATAATGGTTCACTCCTAATGGTTGTAACGACCTCGCATAAAACTTCTGCACGCTGTAACCAATGAGTCTTGGTGATTTTCGAACATTTAGTGCGGTCTAGCTTTTATATAAAATGAAATAATTGTAATTATTTGAGTAATTATGATGCAAGTTATAATTATAAGTCGGCACCGGTTAATTTCATTTCAAAGCTTGATTTTTTTGGGGGGAGACGGATGTTTTATGCGTGTTTAGAAGTTCAATTCTAGGTACACTTTATATTACTAACACTTATTTCACTCATACGATCCTGTCCGCCATCCGTCTCCGAGTATGACACTAATGCTCTCATTGCGCTGGTCTCATGAAGGGAAATGTTTCACGGCTCCATGAGTTACACGAGCCACGCCACGACGCCTTTTATAGGCCGCTGTCTGTACCCATCATGTCTAACATGGCCGCGCAGCCCTTAAAATTCGCTCCCTTGGCGGTCGCACATTTCCATTTGAAAGAAACACCGGCAGCGCGAATTGCAGATCCGCGTCGGGCGCGGAGAGCTGCGTGCTCCTTGACTGGGAATGGCGGGAATGAAGGCTCACTTTGCGTTCTCTGGGAACGAGGCCGGCTGGGAATCTATTCCTCTTTGCTTATAAAAACCTTCATCTAAGTTCCGATGTTGTTTAGAAATTCGTGCCGATCGCTTGCGTAGGAGTCCGTTTTTATTCCCATGTCAATTCGGAGTCCGTGAGAAAATTTTATTCTGCAATACTTGATATTTATCTCTGATAAGAATGTTGCAAGTAGGATTCTATCGATATCTGCCGAGCAGGAACCGCAATAAACTGCGCTTATCTTAACATGGTCACTGGCCTGTACTTAGATGAATTTGTCTTAGAATAGCAAATAAAATTTTCTGTAAATGCTTAACATTTAGCTTACTACGCCATGTCAGCATATAATATGTATAATTATTTTATTGTATTGTTTTATTTTCCCTTTTTAGTTTTCTCAGATGAATTATCGTTGCTATAATTTTGTTATTTATCCTTGATATCTAAACAAATTGCTTAGTTGGTTTAAAGTCTCATTTGTTTATTTTAGTAACTTATTAACATTTGCCGTCTTTTACGTCTTAATAATGTTAACTTTTATATTTCATCGACGTTTCTTATCGAGCTCATATTAAAAAATTTACGCACTTCAAAAGGATTTTCACAAAATGAAATGAAGAAATTTTTGTCTAACCCAGGACGGCTCCCCGGTGTCGGGGGACGGATCCCCCGCGCTGTCGCGGTCAGGGGACCTACGCGCTCTGCACATCGCGCGTCTGCACCGCGGCGACGCGGGGCTCTACACCTGCACCGCCACCAACACCCACGGGGCGGTCGCTGCCAACTGGACCCTCAGGGTCCTGGGTGAGTGGCAGGGTCCTGGGTGAGTGGCAGGGTCCTGGGTGAGTGGCTGAAGGCAGCCATGTCTTAATTGTGTGCTTGTATCGTAGGTGAGTCACCGTGAGGTTATAGAAATCACCGAATTAAAGAGAAATCAGCGAGGCGAAGAGCCTGCAAGTCTCGGGAAGAAAACTATAAATGAATTTAAAAAAGTCGGATGCAGAGCGTCGCGCAATCGATCGCCAAATAAAAGAATACAGTACGAATTCTCTGAGTCGAAGTCTTGCGGTCTCACAGGGTTTACTCAAAAATTGCTCCAGCAATGAGGGAACGTGCGTTTTTTTTCTCGACGAAAAACCTGGTAAAGCATGGCACAATAAAGTACCAATCAAGTAAGAGGGAATGAAAAAAGTATATATATTTAAGAAAATAATATTCCTCGATAATTATTATATTATTTTCAGATTTAGAGGATAAGAGGCCACAACCTGTCACCAGATAAGAGACAAAGTTACGTTTAAATTATCTCAAAACATGAATTATAGTACATTGTACGACTGTGTATGGCTAGTGTGCATTTATTTGTTTTTTTTTTCGTCAATACTATGACTTCATTTTTGGCATCCTGCTATCTCAGTCTCCTGACGCTCCAAATCTTCAGCTCTCTTAATCACAAGCACAGTTGCTCCTTCAGTTAAACTCAACAATCACCGCAATCCACTCCTCGCCTGTTCTCTCATAAGTCATACCCTTACCGTTGCTCCCACCACCAATCATCACCCATCGTTCTCTCTCATTCCCATCATATTCGATTCGCCACAGTATCCTTCTCATCCTCATCACAAACAAAATTCTCGTTCTCTAACTCCTGACATTGCACTTGTATTGTCATATTTCTCCCTGCGCTCCTTCGTGCACATAAATCCGTAGGTGCTCCCCTCTGAAACAACCGAAATTTATTAAAACCTTGTTTATTATCGTTCCTTCAATACTCACATACCAATGAACAAACCTATTTTTGAAGCCTTTCCTTTACGTGGGATCGTCGGCGGCTGAAAAAAGAGAAGACTCGACTATATTATGGAAAAGGAAGACGCGTATATTATGTTGTTTCGCAGGTCAAATATGTACTAATTATTAATTCCGATATCTTATAATTGAAATGTTCAAAACTGAAATATTTTCAATAACATGAAGAGTTGTGGGAAATCAATATGCGACTCGCACGCGTGTGCAGCATCAACTTTCAACAAGAGTTTTTATTTTACACGAGCAATCATCGAACTAGTGATCAATATGATCCAGATTTTCATGCTAGAGAAATAAAGACTGTATGAACTAGTTTTTCAGAGTACTTGCATCTAGGCTACTTGTAGTCTTGTACAGACCTCGAGTGCAAGTTTGTGTGAATAGATCTAAGATTATGCCATGTGAGGTACAAAGAGTAATCGTCTTCCTACATCACTCGTGGCATAGCTGCGCTGCCTTCAGCTTCGCCTTCAATTTAGTTCTATTGAAAAGCCTCCACGCCATAAGTCGCCGGCGAACCTTCCGACTTGCAGCCGAGCTTGAAATTCGCAGGCTTCGCTGTGTGACAGCGAGCGGCGCTCGCTTCTTTTCTGCTCAAATTTAAATCCCTGAATTTTCTCCTTTTGCATTAGAATATTTTTGACGCAACGACGCAGCGGGCCCATCCATCCGGGATATTTTATTGCTCCGAACGAGTGACAGGCGCTCTGCTCTAGGCGCGTTTGTAATATTATTAATGCGCTGGCATATTTTAACGTGGAACATGTTTAAAAGTTACAAATACGATATTTTCATAGTATAATTATTATAAACCTGTTAGGAAACGATTACTCCAAGGTAACTACATGTATTTGATCTGTTTCTCTTACTCACTTCCGATGACTCACTGAATCAATTTCTGTGAGTATAATAATTAGCTTCTATTCATTTATCCAGAGCATGACGCATAATGTGTGCAAAATTATTTGGGCCGCTGTAAGTTTGCAATAATGTATCTTTTACGTCATAATTCCCTATAAGTTTATTGAAACGCTAGAACGGCGAGAAATGAAGCGCCGCCCAACTATAAGTCGATAACTCTAGCTGTCTAAATAAATAATAAATTTTCAAGCGCTCTATTTGAATTTACTTACATTTTTCAAAAACGATGGTCAAGCTTGCGTTGTTCAGGTCTCAAAAATATGTTAGATTTTTTAGTTTTGGAAAAAACCTGGACACACGTCCCTTAATTTCATGAAACGCCATATTTACTCTCCCCGTTCCGGCCAATTCTTTTGTGACTTTTTTTCACGGCAGCTCCAAATGGATTGTTTTTTGTGATGCAATATTCAGTTGGCTACAGCGTCAGATTTGACAGCCGTTCAGAGAGCGACAAGTTTTAATCCTTGTGTTTGTGAACAATTAATCTTTCTATCCGTGTTGAATTTATGCTTCCCAGTTAACCTTTATTAATTTAAACTAACGGAAGACATAGCAAATTATTGATCTGTAGTTTCTATGCGATTCCTTTTTTTTCTCAACTGGAAAAATTTTGCAACTATTCAGCCTTTTTTAGGCTACATGTGAGGAAGATTGGCTTCTAGCTCATCATTTATTTGGACAATTACATTTGCTCAGTTTCCCTTTATTGTCATCATGCGGAACAATATCGTTTCAATAATGATAGTGACTGGCACATATATATATTTTTTAACATTTAGGAGTTAATTGCGTGTAGCTACTGCAGAGTTAGTTTTTCTTGTTGCCTAATCTTGCGTTATGGCCAGCCATGTCATTGCTTCTACAGAAAAATAAAATTCCCTTGTTTTCTCCAGCTTATACTGCCAAAAATTGTCAAGTTGGAGCTTAACATAAAAATCGTTATTGTTGATAACTCACTCTTCTGAAAGTGCCTTAATTCTCTATCCAGTTTCATTCACGACTGGATGTTCATGCAGTGCAGTTTCTCCTGTGGTATATTTTGGATCTTTATTTAATCCAGTTGAGGAATTGAGTAGGTTATTCTCGCGGCTGTGCTCGATTATTAAACTGTTTTTTTTTTAATTTTTGTATAATGTGCGTTAATATCAGTTTGATTTTTTGATACTTCTTAAGTACAATCTCGATTCCAAGAAATGATGCGGCGTAGTAAATTCTTTTATATTCACTGTGTAATGATAATGAAATATCCAAGACCAGCGATGTCATATTATACTCTATAAATCAAGTGAGCTCCCCAAAGAATCTATTATGGGCAGCGCTAATCTTTTTCCTTCTTGAATTTTGATCCAGATATTTGTTTTTTGTTTGTATTTACTTACACTAGCTTCTTTGGTTTTTGAGAGAGTAATTAATAAATAATTCGTGTACAATTCAAGGCTTTTTTTTAAATTAACGATGATTTGACGCAATCGCACATGGGATATGTTTCAGTTGCAATTTTAACGATTGCCTTGCCAAACTAAACCGAGTTCCTAGAAAGCCACATCGAATTTATTAATATTTTATTCAACCTGTTAATTGAGAACTAAGTTTAAGGCTAAATTTCATCGCAGGTGGCGGCGGTGCATCGTCTTCCCCGACGTTGATGTCACCGCCGCTCCGCGTGCGTAACGCGAGCGTCGTGGACGGCGACGAGGAGGCCGCGCTGACGTGCAGCGGCGCGTCGGGCTCTAATACACCTGCAGTGATTCTAAATGTCTTAGCTCTAATGGCTATCTATGTTATTGAAACTAATTTATTTCGATATTCAAATAATACTGTCATAATTTCTCGTGCATTGAATGATATATGTGCTAGTATGTGCATTTATGCTTACATATTCACTAGTACCTTTACTTATTCTGATATGTTATTATCTTATTATCTAGAAGAAATATGCTAACAACTGATTCACTATTTTTAATTAAAAACTATTCAAGTTTGTTTAATGTCAGTTTGTCGAGTTGAGACGAGTTCGTTGTTGCAGTTGGTGATCGAGCAGCCGACGCAGGCAGACGCTGGCGAGTATGTCTGCATGGCCACCACGACTGAAGGAACTGCAGTGGGCACTGCACACCTCACAGTGCTGCGTATGTTGATGATTTTCATCGGCATAAATCTTATGTCGAGTGTGAAATTTTGTATTCAAATGCAATTTTTGCGCATAGTTTAGACGCAAACAACATTAAATATCGTTAAATAATCATTGTTATTAGTAGATAATTTGACGATTACCTGCTCCGTGTGCGTTAGAAGCCTTGCAAACGGTATGTTGTGTTTATCTTAACTGGCAAGTTACAAACTCAAAATTTGGTTTAAATTTGTTACAAGCAAGGTTGGACAACTTCTTGCAGATTTTTGACTGAGGAATTTCGAAAAGAGTTAACTTGAGCAGTCATCCCATGGCTGCTCTATTATATTATTTTCTCGTCACTCGGTGATTGCAAAGCCAAACCTCGCGCTAAAGTTTGTCTTAAATCGGTGATAGCAAAGCAAACCCTTGCGTTCACGGTATTAAAGATAGTCTTCAAATAATAAATCGCATCCATTTACCTGTTGGAACAATTTCTGACTATACATAAATGAATTAGGCGCAGTGTCCATGTGCAGATAATCCATTTCTGATAATTATTGCTAGCCCACCTCGCCGAACTCGTGTAAAATCCTCCTATTGTGTTGCAGCTCGCGGTCCTGGCCGCATCCTGCTGGTGGTCATGGGTCTGCTCGGCTCGATCGCGGTGGTCGCCGTTTTGGTTTAAATTTGTTACAAGCAAGGTTGGACAACTTCTTTCAGATTTTGACTGAGGAATTTCAAATCGAGTTAACTTGAACCGTCATCCAATAGCTGCTATATTATATTCTTTCATCGTCTATCGGTGATAGCAAAGCAAAACCTTGCGGTGACAGTATTAAATTTACTTTTCAAATAATAAATCGCTTCCATTTACTTGTTGAAACAATTTCCTACTGTAAATAAATGAATTAGCCGCAGCGTTTATGTGCAGAGAATCCATTTCTGACAATTATTGCTAGCCTATGTTGCAGCTCGCGGTCCTGGTCGCATCCTGCTGGTGGTCATGGGTCTGCTCGGCTCGATCGCGGTGGTCGCCGTCACCGCCGCCGTCGTAGCGACGTACAGACGACGCCGGCGACGGCGACGCGGCGGAGGCGTTAAGCCGACGCCCCCCGGTGGCGGCTACGTGGGGAGCGGCCACCACCCTGCCTCGCAGGCGTCTGCGACTCTGCTGCCTACGGAGGACTGCCACCGACAGTCCGGTGAGCTCCCCATCGTCTAGTACTCTAGTAATTCCTTGACTCTGTTTTATAATTCATTTATTGAGCTGCGTCTTCGGAGCTGATTCGTGCACTTGAATGGAATCTTTTAATACGATTGAAGTGAGAAATCTTTTGAATTAATCTGGTTTCCTTTTATACTGAACATTTGTACAAAGAAGATCTGTTTTTGTGCGCATGTCGAGCCGTCATATGAATAGCGTCGCAAAACTGCCATAATCTGAAACTTTGATGTACGCGAGTACACGATATGAGCATGCGCTGAGAAGTTGAAATTTATTATTCAAGCTGCGTTACACTTGATTCATTAGAATTTGTGTATTTAATGACATTTACAATTTCATGTGTCAGGCGAATATTGAAGTTATCTTGAGGCATTAGAACTATGTCTATTCAGAACCAAACGAGTTTACGTTCTAGTATCTGTACATGCAAACATGCGCTAAAAATGTTCGGAAAATATCGTCTATTTTACAATATTTCAGTTTGCAAGAACGGCGTGGCGCCCTCGCTCAACGGCGGCTTCAACCCCCGGTGCGTGAGGCCGCCGTGCGTGCAGGGCAGAGTCGGCGACAGCGGGGCGCTGCCTCCCCAGCAGGAGGGCTTGACTGGCAGGTCAGTGGTTCTTCGAGGCTTTTATATGTTACGGAAGTAGAAAATTCTAAGAGGCTATTAAATATTTTCCATATCTATGCTGTTGTTCTAAATTTTGGTTATTTAAGTTTGGCTCATAGCAAAACATCGTCGAGGTTTCTCAGTATAATTTGAATGGTTTAAAGAAGTCGATTTCTTAGTTCTACGTAAATATACATTTTTTACTGAAAGGTTTTCTAGCGATGAAACACGTAGTAGACAACTTATGTGTGCAGGTATCAGGATCCTGGAAGCGCTTCAGTATATCTGTCAGGACAGCAAGGCTTGAACGATAGCAGCGGTGGTTCGGATTACAAGCCTCCCCTCACCCCTCTCGCGGACTACCACCACCACCATCACCACCACCAGCTACAGCAACAACAGCCATACCAGCAAATAGCCTCACCTCAACCGTACCACGTACCACCACAACAATATCCACTTCCACCACAGCAACATTTATTGACGACTCAACAGCCTTGTGGTTTGTCACAACCGCAGCATCAGTACCAGACACCTCTACAGCCGTGCAGTGGTAGCGTACCTCAAGTACCACAGCAGTTACAGTACCATCAGCTGGACGTCATATGAGATCAGGCTTCTGTACCACTGAGCAAGAAGAACCTCAAGCGCCATCAGGAGCTGCTTGCGAAGCAGGATCACGTCTAGAGCAGCGCTTGTGTTCTACCTCGTTTCTGCAGACTCCATGTACGACTAATGCGTATATGCAATTCTGGCTACTTTCTGCACTGATGCTATGCTATGTTGGATTATAAATTTTTAATTCGATTGTATTGTTTCATAGATTCTTAATGATGACAACATAAAAACTAGTGACAAACTTAGAATTGTTTGTACCGAAATTCTGCGCTGCTTTCAGCAGAATACGGGATGTAGGCATAGAGTTGCCCATAGCATCACAATCTGTCGGTAATTCGTAAGTCCAAAACCGATCCATCAACAAGTAAATGTCCAACAATCGCATATCCATCAACATCATGGCGTTGATTCTGCTCCAGCTATAATCATGCCAAAGGGGTCTCAGAAAAAATTTTTTATTAGAAAAAATGTGTACTTGGTAAGCAGTTAAAGGTGCAAGTGTTCTTCTTGCTCAGTGGTACAGAGGTCCTTAAAGTCCATGAACGAATTTTCAATTGAAATGTCACGAAGCCGTTCGGCTTCTTCATGTTTTTTCATTTATGGCATGCAGGCGGCAATAGGGAGATTGTAAATAATATTTCTGTAGAAGTATCATATTTTCCAGGAAGGAAGGTCATATTTTCCAGTGAGCTTCGCTTTGCAGAGCTTGGTAGCAACAAAAGCTTGGTAGCAACAATAATTTTTTGGCGTCACGTATGGCGTATGAAGCCAAATACTAAGAATCGTTAACTAAGGATTTTTCTATTTTTATTTGAGCTGTGGATATACGAATCTCGTAGCAAATATTTAGGGATTACATTTTAATAATCTTAACTTCTGTGATCCTAAAATTCCTAATTTGAATTGCAACAAATGTTTTTGGAGCGAACAAAATTTTTTGTGATAAGTAAAATTCAACTTTGTAATGTGACAAAACTCGGAATTTGTAATACTTATGCGTTCTTTTTTCCGTTAACAGAAAGGAGAGATCTTATCAATTTAAATCATGTAGTAGATGTCTTCGTTGTGTCGTTGCGGATTCGAACTTGCCGGTCGTTCAGCTTGGTAATCTTTTTTATGTAATCGGTGTGCGGACATCTTGATAGCAGATATCGGGCAGGGCATGACTGTACTGTGTATGCATTGTATTACTCAGCACGGTAGTGTTAAGTCCATGTCAATCGAGAATATTTTTATCTAGTCTTGTAGCTTTAAGTGAAATTTATGGTAAAATATTGAAATTTGTAACGATTTGTCCAAGTAAGTTGAACGTGGTAATTTTTATGGCGTTCGTTGCTGCAGTGATTAAATGTCAGAGAACTGGGCATGGATAATTCTGCAATCAACAATCTATTCTATTGTGATGTTGGCGCTCTGAATGAGCGATATGACGTATCCAATATTCATTATTAATTTGATAGTTAATTTCTCATTTTGTGATAAACGCAAGATTCACGGAGGGTTGTCACTCAATCACGTGTAGAATCATCTTAATGTAATATAACTTGAAGGAAAATAATTGCTTTACGTTTGATAAAGTTGACAAAAAAAATGCGTAGATTTATCTTTCGATTAGCTTGTAATAACGCGCTGAGGAACTCCTGGCAGCATTCACAGATCGTTTATCCATGTAATGTAACGGCAAGTAAATTTCCTACCTACGATTTTTGTTAATTACGATTCCTGCGCTCGGTTAAGTCACCAGAATATGTTCTGCTAGTGGCGCTAAGAAATTTCGAAGCAATCGAACACCTCGTGTCGCTCTATGGGCCTCCTCGTAATTCTCAAGAATAACTTAGATAAATCGAAAAATTGAGAATAAGAGGCAAGTTTTAGAAGAGGTCACGATGCTTCGCAGGTGTCCACGGCTTGGATGATACCACCAAATATTTTTTGAACTATTCTCAGGTTTTTCCTATCCATTTTACAACACTTCTCTTTAACTTCACTTCTTGTTTGTTTGTCTCTGTCTGTCTGTCTGCTACAAACCTTATAATCGAAATTTAACACTCTTCCACTTATCCTATCGATCTGAAATTTTGCACACTTGCGTAAAGTTGGAGACAATGCATGAATCAAATGACAAAATAAATAATTTTAAAGTCAAATTTTTTTATCAATCTTAAAAAAACTGAAAAAATAATTTTGTCTGCTTCAAATCTTAAAATCAATATTTAACACACTTCTAGCTGTCCAATCTATCTGAAATTTTGCAGACTTGGCGTAAAGTCAGAATATAGCACGTGACGAATAAATGATCACTCGCACGTGGCAAATAATTGATCGTATGTGTACGGCGAATAACCAATCGTGTGCTTGTGGCGAATGGGTGATCGCTCACTTAATTATTAGAAATGATACATGAACGTGCGTTGATGTATACAATGGCAAGTGCGGATCCTATAGGCCATCAAAGTTCGTTGATGCATCATTGCAAAACAAACAGTTTTCGTATTCTTCAAAGTTCATCTTATTAACAAATAATCTATCTACTCGATGAATCGATACTGAACTTTTTGTCACCGCGACATTGACAAATATACACGGCAAACTGTTTAAACGTTGTTAAGGCGTCAGCAAACTTCATTTCTTTTATAAATGTTACGAACTTGTTCAGTCGGAACTAATTGATGACAGATGTTGTGTTTTGGTGAGAGCTTTCAAAATAATTGGCTCCTGACCGTGGAAAATTTAACCGATTTGCGGTAGCTATACGAAACACATACCGGTATATTTTTGTGTCAGAAACTGGCGATCATTTTCTGGATTAATAACAACAGGTTTGCCTCATATGTCAATTTTTTCAATTGAAAAGATGTGATTAAGTCGACATAAAAACATTAGAAAAAATTCAATTTTCATCAGAAAATACGTCAATTAAGCTAATGTTGATTGATTCACATCTGCAAATAGACACGATCGCGCTCAATGCCAGTTTTTATTACAACACTTCTCTTTAACTTCACTTCTTGTTTGTCTGTCTGTCTGACTGCTATCAATCTTATAATCGAAATTTAACACACTTCTACTTATCCAATCGATCTGAAATTTTGCACACTTGCGTAAAGTTGGAGACAATGCATGAATCAAATGATAAAATAAATGATTTTAAAAATTAAATTTTTTCAATTTAAAAAAAATAATTTTGTCAGCTACAAATCTTATAACTGATATTTGACACACTTTTACCTGTCCAATTGATCTGAAATTTTGAACATTTGTGTGAATACGGAGGCAATGCATGAATCAATTGACAGAATAAATAATTTTGAAAAAAATTTATATATTAAAAAAATTGAAAAATTAATTTTTTAAATAAATGAAAATAAAATGAGAAACTCATTGTACATCTGTAACATTGGAGACACTGGATTCTTTAGAAGTGTTGTCTTTAAAAAGTAATTTTTAAACGTATAATATTTAGGAATAAGTTCATATTTAAAAAGACTGGAAGAAAGAATTAAACATTATGCACGTGTATTTGTAGAACACGAATTGAGTACAAGAAAATCTCGTGCGCTAACTCCTTCTATAAAATACATGGAAATTATGTGGAATTATGAAGCAAACGCAAGAAATACTTCTATTTGCACACTGAGTTATCTGAACAGATGTGCGTAAATGAACAACTAGATTACCAGCGACTAGATGCATCACAGATCATTGTATTGAAGCTTATAAGAATTAACAATTAAGACTACGTGTACCATTAAATTAACATAATTGGTCCCTGGTAAGTGAGAAGGCATGCTCAGAGATCTAGGGCCATTAGGGTAGTGTCGTGACACTGTTAATAAATAGTTTTAGTTGAACTTATTATGCTAGATTTTGCACGATCTGGACGAAAATACTTCAAGTCGTTTTCAACATTCAACAAACGAACTGCCATATAAGCAAGACAGTAACCTGTGAATTGCATTCATTGATGGTCATTCAGAATTACACAGCAGGTGTATAAATTCGTGTACCTCTGTATCCCATACAATGAAATGGCTGGTCAAAACTCAGATCTCTATGAGGATTGATGTCGCCACTTTATGTGGAGGGAAGAAGGCCAATCACTTTGAGCAGCAAGTCAAAGTTGTTGTTCTTGATGGCTTGTCGGCACGCATTCACGATCGTAGTCTTGGACTTCCCAACTGCGAATAACGAAACTATTCTTGAAATATAATTCTTTATTCACATCAATGGATCGTTTAATTATACGAAAGGAAATAGTAAATGGGTGATTAGGTATCCATATGCAGATACAATATGCGAAACACGATGACTTAATGCATTAAAAAATACTGCGAAGACCAGCAAGAATTTAATCAACGAAGAGCACTAACCTCTAAGACGCGCCGCCCTCTGGATGCTTTGATTGATCGCCTTGAGACACGCTAGTAAATTCTGGTGGTTGTTGCAGCGAATTTTGTAGCCGTTGATCATAGACTGGTTAATGGACATGACTTCTTTGTACCATTGCTTCATTGAAACTCTGAAGAATTTAATAGCTGATATAATTACTTGTGTAGTACTCGTGAAAAATATAGAAAAATATTATTTAAAAAGTATTAAAAGATTTCAAAAGTATTAAAATTATTTAATGATTACGGCATAAAAATGATATTTAAAGTAACGCTTTGCCATTTATAACATGTACAATTAAGTATGAAATTACGCTAATGGATGTTAAAAAAAAGTTATTTGCACAATTCTCCGCTAGCACAAAATAGTTTTTTGTGACTCTTAGGCAAAATTATCAAAGTTAATCCAAATCTTGGTGAAGGTTGCCTAGCTTGACTCACAGGTCGCCCATGAGACGCGCGTCCTCGCCCCGCACGATCAGGCCCCTGATGACGCCAGAGTTGTCGGCGAGCTCAGCACTGAGCTTCTGTCGCGCCTTCTGGTACTCCGTCAGCGGCTCCAGTTTGCTCGCTAGCTCCGTCACCTCAGCCGGGAAGTTCGCTACCACCTGCACAGAAAACATATTTGTTTTTTTAAATTTGAATACTAAATTTTAGAGTACGAAATGGTTTTTGGCGGCAGCTACGAACACTGATAATAGAGAAAGAACAAGACTTTTTTTTTATTTTACATATGGCAAGACTAGGTACCTATAGAAGATACCGTACAAATTGTCATAGAACACACTATGTAAACGACGATCGCGATGATCTGGTTTGAAAATGAACTAACTAATTGACAATAACCTATTCTGAAATGTTAAAATTCCTTCATTAGAAACAAGTTTCAAATTTGTATTTTAAGTTAGGACACCATAAAGAAGCATTCATTCACTCCAGGATTGCGGTTAGACTGCACAAATGCTCACTTCGAGGTCCTCAAGATTGAGGTAGGCCGCCAGACTTTGGATGATGTCAGCCACGAGGTCCATGTCGTCGCAGAAGAGGGACACGTGACACGTGGGTGTGATCTCCATCAGGAGAGCCCCGCCCTTCCTCAGGCACTGGAACTTCAAAGAGACGCTCCCGTCCTCGGCAGCCTTCAGGTCTTCCAGTAGCAGGAAGCTTTGGTTGAGCCACATCACAAGCTGCAGAAAAACTGTAGCAATAAGACACGAGTCTTTACGTTCAATATTATCACGCGTCACCAGCAGGGAACTAAGGCGATCAAGTAGAGAGGACCATTAATCATTGCGAGAAAAGTGGAATCACCAGGTCAAAAAAATTGATATTAACATAATATATTCCTATATTTATAATAATAATGAAATCAGAGCACTAGTGGGTTGGCGTGTTTGCTTAGTCACTAAATTGTAGCCACTAAACTTAAGTGGCTACAATAACAAGCGCTTCAGGCTAGGACCGGAGGTCACACTGAGCATCCAAGGCCACTAATCAAAAGAGCTAAATACACCCATGGTTCAACGAATCATGTAGTCGTATGTATTGATAACTCTCAGGTGACCTGAAGACCAATTTTAGAAGAAAAACTCGCTCGTGCCGCCAAGATGCGGGTCAAGGCAAACGCGGCGTTATTGAATGAATATGGCCGTGAGCATCATCAGAAAGAAAACATTGACATAGGAAATTCACAACGGTCTAAAGCAACAGGAAGTGGCCCAGCGATATTTTATAATAAAATCTCTTTTACTGCACTCCCTGCATTTTGCGCTCCCTCTAGCGATAGCAAGGGCACACAGGAGGCCGGCTGTGAATATTGACGAGAAGCCACGAAGCTTCGGCGAGCACACAGCGCATCTCACCCTACAGTCGTACTTGGAGCCGTCGGTATACAAATTCATCGTTTCAAGTAGGTGGTCGAGGAACAGAGTTTTCATCGCATAAGTTGAGTGCTGCAATAACTACCTATTATAACGCCAGGGCAAGGTAAAGGGATGAGCCAGATAGGAAAATGATAGGTGTTATCTGCCCGGTGAGATGGAGTCGAGAACATGTAACCTTGAACCACTGATGAACAAAACTCTGACAGGAATATGAGCTTGATTCTAGTGAGATGCTGCAACATAAGGAATATTTCATTGCACTGAGTGTACTCTCCACAAGCCTTGCATTTTGACTGAGGATATGCGAGGTCCTATACTACAACATATTTCTGGGACACTGTAACCGATAGCAGCCCACACCCGCGAGACCACATATGGAAACAAGAAAGGCCTGATAAGGAGGCAAGCAAGACCTCAAGACCTCATATAAGTCATATAATTAGCAAGACCTCCAATGAAAATAAACAATACCTCATATGGAAGAAGCAAGACCGGCCAAGAATCACAAGTGTTCTGTCTGTAGTCAATTCGCTGGCCTTAAGCTCACCCGGGCCACTCGCTCCTGCAGCTCGAACTTGACGTAGCTCTGGGGCTGTGGCAGCGCGGTCTTGGCGATGCTGTACATGGAGAAGCGCGGCAGTTGGCGGGTCAACTCGAACACATGGTAATGGTTTGAGCCCTTGTAGCCAACCATGGCCTTGATGTGCAGGTCTACAGGAACGTCCTGCAGTATGTCATACTCTCATTAACATTCTTAGATTAACGTCAATGAAATATCACTTGTTTGGAGCATTTTTAAATAAAATTACGATTAAATCACAATCCCTTGTAGCTCTTCATCGCATTTGCAGGTGTGTGTCAATGCTGCATGACTGAATAATATTTTGGTCCTATTAAACTCACTGCAACGTCTTATTCAACTCAATCAAACAGGATCCATAAATTTGAGGCATTAATTAATAACAAGTGAAAGTATTGGATGGACATTGGACAATCGCATCAATCAAAGCTGACTTGCAAAAATGATTAATTTTCCACTCGTACTTGCAGACATAAAGACATGGAGAAATGTTGCTGCCTCATTGTTTAAGATTATTTCGTTCTTACTGAAGAAATCATGTAATTTAGCAATTTTCCTCGGCTTGAAAGCCTCATCATAATTTAAATTTCTTAAAGCATTCATCTAAAATAGGGACACCTTAGGCGGGAATATGGGCACTCGGATGCTGGAGGAGAGGTGGTTTTCTTTTGGGTGGTAGACGTGGCTCTCGCCTTCGAAGATGCCTTCAGCGAATATGATCACGGCCCTGATGATGGTGTCGTTGGTGGTCGCCAGGGCGATCTCGACGTGGGGCTGAAGACATGGTTTACAGGTTAGAGGACTTGAATTAAAAAATAATGCAGAGAAAAATTTAAAATGCCTGGACCCTGTTAAACACTTGAGACTAGGGAAATCATCATCAAAACGAAGAAACAAACTTTATAATTCATTAGCAATGTACAGTACTTCACCCATATTTTAGCAAGCATCACCAGCAGTGTACCGTACATGACTTCACCCATATTGTAGCGATCATTACCGGAAATAGAAACTCCCTGCCTGCTTTGCACTTTTGCTATTGAGAAGCAGTCTGGCAAACATACGGGCCAACATATATACTTGATGACATTTTTCGTAGAAATAATTTTCCCGAGATCTAAAAATACGCTGACATCACTAACTTTTCATCCATCATACATCATCCAAAACATGGTGTATCATCCAACATACAACACGTCACCCAACTCACACCGCATCAGCCAACACACAACACTTCATACAACACACAACACGTCACCCAACTCACACATCATACAACACACAACACGTCATACAACACACAACACATCATACAACACATCACACAACACATCATACAACACACAACACAACAGTTATTGTCGTGTCGCACCGGCTTGTTGTGCTCTTCATCTCCCAGGTTGATGGTCAGGCCAGTCTGTAGCTGAGTGTTGGCCTAGAAAATAATATTCGTTTAAAAATTACATTTTAAAGACAACACTTCTAAAGAATCCAGTGTCTCCTATGTTGCACATGTACAATGAACTTATAATTTTATTATCAAATATAAAAAATTAATTTTTAAATTTTATTTTTAAAATTAAATAAATTACACTTTTCAAAATTATTTATTCTGTCAATTGAATTATGCATTGTCTCTGACTTTACGCAAGTGTGCAAAATTTCAGATAGATTGGACAGTTTGAAGCATGGTTGAATTAACACAATATTAATTCAACCATGGTTAGAAGTGTGTTAAATATCGATTATAAGATATGTAGCAGACAAAATTTTTTTTTTCATTTTTTATTGCAAATAACTTTTTTTTTTATTTCCAAATTTATTTATTCTGTCAATTGAATCATGCATTGTCTCCAACTTTACGCAAGTGTGGAAAATTACAGATCGATTGGACTGGTAGAAGTGTGTTAAATATCGATTATAAGATTTGTAGCAGACAGACAAACAACCAAGAAGTGAAGTTAAAGAGAAGTGTTGTAAAAACAGAACATGTATCATATACGTAATATAGATAATAGAAATTAATGTTCACATAGCGATAAGATCATTGCTGATACATTTGCAACATATCATTTTAGGCTCCCCAGAAATAAAAAATATCATCACTTTAAAATAATGATGTAATGGGAAGAAGTGAATTATACCAGTAAGATAAACCAGATGAGTTCTAACTGTTGGAGCTAGGCGGTTTTGCCGCACCACGTACAAGAATTGTAGGCAAAAATTAGGATCAGAAACACGTGCGCCATAGAATCGCCATAATAGTTGACAGAACTCACAGGAATGACGGCAACGCCTTCGCTGTTGCCAAGACCTGTGCCCGCTACGGCACCCGTCGACGAGGTCGAGTTTGAAATACGTTGGTTCTCCTGCCGAGAATAAAAGGTAAAATAGAAAAATATTGCTAATGAATGAAAGACAAACTATAAATGAAGAAATCTGTTACCTACGAAATCTGTTCAACGGAGATTCAAATAATGATCAAATTAGACTTGAGCAATATGAAAGTAGTTATTCTGGCATAAAAGATAAAAAATACAACTCAGTACTCACTGCAGTGAGTGACAGAGAGCGCATTTTCTCGTCGACGAAAACTTGAGGTCACGGACAGACGGACGGACGGACATGGCGAGCACAATAGTGCATTTTTCCATAAATGAGAAAATGAGCTAAAAACGTTCTTCTGGCATAAAAGTTAAAAAACTACCTAGTAATTCTATGTACAATCCGGTACATTGCATAAAATAAATATCGAAAAAGTGTAAAACTAGCCCAATAAATTCGAGTCACAGCATGATAGAAGAAAATAAATCACATAAATATACTGCAAGAACAGTACATATTTTCTAACTTTTTGTGATTGCATACCACTTGGAGTATTATGTGAAAAATACCACTTATTTACAGTAATACCAATTATTTGGGCATTGCAGTGCCCAAATAAATGAAAGTCATGCCCACGCACCACCAGTTTCTCACAGCCCACCACTAATGCTATATATCAGCAGCTTACATGTAGCATTAGTCGTCTTTCAACGTCCACCTTAAGGCACTGGTTGCAACAATCAATCATGTCACTATTTTCTTTCTTCAAACCTAGTTTTTTTCTCAACACATTATTTTCCATTATTGTCTTCAAACCAAATTCTTCACTTTACCTAACTGAAACCCGTGTTAAGATATAATACATTTCAGCAAGATCAGGCGCCTTTCTTTACGCAATTTCCTGCACTTGTTTTCTAGATTTCACAAACAAAACTGGTAACCCAAGTAAATAACATTATGCATTGTTCACACCTTCAAATTAGCTTGTTACCGTTCACCTGATAGTTCTTGAGTTCCATAAGCATGGCGCTCTTGCGCTGCGTCAGTTCCCTCAGCGTCTCCTGCTCAATGTTCATGTCCAGCAGCGTGTAGCGGCTCTCACTCGCCGACGACTGATACCCGCGTACTGGTTGGGGGTTTATAAGTTTGAATATTTTTCCTTTAGTTTATTTGTCGTCTTATGTCGTGTGAGGGCAGGGCGACAAGTTTACCAAGGTACCGGCCATAGAACTAGGAAATGTTTTGCTCAAATGAATTGTACAATTTAATGAACTAGGAAAAACAAAATATAAATCAAATAAACAAATTGGAGAGAAGCAGAGAGTATTATTCAGTGACACGTACAGAACTTGAATCCTTTCTCTGGTAAACATAAAAATTACCAGAAATTAAAATTGTTGGGTCAGAAATCTCCAGAAATTGACATTTCAGAAACTACTTCAAGAAAGTAAGATGTATACGAAATATTTACTCGTATGTATTTTTAAGAAAATTGTATATTGGAGGTTTAAAGTGAACTTGAAGAATTTATTGAATACGGCCATCGCACGAAATATTCTCTTTATAATTAAAATTTAATTTATGATAATGAAAAAAGTAATAACATAAAAATCTAATTCAATCAAGTTAAACTAAATAATTAAATATATACCTATTGATACTTCCACCATTTGAAAAAATACGGAAAGAGCGTCATTTACATTGTTCGAGTCAAAACTTTCATTCAAATGCTCATATTTTTATTTTTGAGCATGGTAGGTGGTGATGCTATGAATGGAACGATAGTCAGATAATTGCTGATTGACTGAGGCTTGATAAGGACGTCTCAAAGACTCAAACATAAACAAAAAGCCGCTGTGGGTCTACTTGTGAAGCGATTTCAAGTGACCATATAAGGTAACTTGCCGTGTAAGGGTTAATTAAGAACACAATTAAGGCGAAAAATTGCTCCCATTTCTATAAACTCTGCACCAAGTATGTCACATCTTCATAGACGCACATCCATCGTTGTAGCAGGAAGATTTGATATAAAATAAAACATTTCATGTGGAAAAAATATATCCAAAGTTTACAGTGAAATGAAGGTGCGGTCTACTTACTCTCGCCGTCAACCGAGCAGCACAGGAGCTGCGTCTTGCCATCTAATCTATAGTCCCCCTTCACAATGCCAGCAACGGCGCAGTCAAAGTTGTCCTGAAACGAACGAAGATCAGAGACACAAATAATTTCGTTCTTCCAAATCGTGTAGTGGATGCAACACTCGCAGTCAAATATAAGTTAATAGTTATTGAAGTTACAGCACAGCATTAGCTAATTGCCATTGGATGCCTTAAACAGAAGTTCACTGATGCAGCATATGCATTTATAAGTTGAGCAACATGTACTACCGAATTATGACAAATGATTATTGTTTTGCAGCGACTACGGGAATTACTCAAGTATTTATATTCAATGATACAATCATGCTTTATAAGTTAATAACAGCCCATGCTCGAAAAATTCTGCGAGGACCATCATTAGCTCTGCATACTTTATACAGAAATTAATTTTCCCTCTCACTAGCAATACGAGTTTCGGCGACTATTTCAAGGAACTGTCTCATAACAGGAACAGTTAAGAATCTAAAAGTGAGCGTAATTACAGGATTGGAATAATCTTGAAGATGAATAAACATAATTACACGAACAAATGAAAGAAAAAAGAGAAATATTTACATCAATACGATACCGAAACAAGTTAATTTGAGCAATTGTAACTTGGAGGCGAAATACTACATACTTTGAAGACGACTTCGCCGCTCTTGTCATTGCGCGCATCGAGCTTGCCGTTGCTCCAGCCCGTGATAAGCTCAGGCACGCCGTCGCCGTCTATGTCGTAGCTACAAATGCACATCGCTTGATTCTTGCTCTGTGTCAAATACAGTTCAAATTAATGATTGCTTGTGTTAACAAACACGCTAGCTACTTGAATATAATTTAAGGAGCTAACTCATTAGACCACCGATTTCTTTGATTCGTTAATTTCAGGTGCTTACTCTCAGGAAAATTGCAACAAATAACTTTATCATGAGAGCTGGTCACCTTGATCCGCCACCAGCGGGAGGAGCCTTGGTAGACGCCGACGGTGCCGTTGGTGAGGGAGTACGCGAAGCGGGGCCCCGCCACCGAGCACAGGCCTGTCACAGCCTCAGTCTCGGCCATCTCTGTGATGAGCTCATCTTTCTTGAACACCCTGATGTCGAAGTCTTCTGAGCCCACCAGTAACTGCGAACAAGCAGATCTTTTAAAATGGATGTAACATGCATCAATAATAACTCAGACCATGGTGGAGCATCAAGTTCAAATATAACTTGCATCGGAGCAGCTTAGAGCCTTAGACCACGACCGAGCGTTCAGTCGAAACGTGACGAGTATCAAAAGTATCTTGAACCACGGTGAAACTTTCAGTTCAAATTTAAGATGCATCAACAATGACACACGTCTAGCAGGATTTCATTGTAATGTTAATAACTCCGCGATAGCAACAGCAGCCAAATAAAGCAAAATATTGAGTTGGAAAAAACATCGACGGGAATTCTTACCCGTATGAGTAATATTTTAAATGGAATTTTAAGCAACTCTGCAATTCCATCTCCATTTTCTAGTACCTTTAGAGAGATCGTCAATATTGCTTTGTCCCTTAAACCACCGTAGTCACTATAGTAAGGAATTATTCAAATGTTCCTACAGTAGTTGCATTTACTACACGAAAGTTCAGTGGCAAGAAAGGCGATGAAGGAATCATAAGGATGTGGGATGGCAGGAGTACCTACAATTTTATACGCAATCTTTAAAATATTACACATGGGTCACTAAAAAGTTTTCAGGTGCAGTTTAAAATAAGATTTTATATTTTATTGCGGTGTCAAATAAGATTTTATATTTTATTGCTTATTACTTCATTTTCTCCGTCAGCATCAAAGTCGGTGAGCGCCAGCGACGTTACATTGTCGCCCGCGACGGTCCAGAACATGTCTGTGCCTGTCGAGTCAAAGCCCTGAAAAAATATCCTCTGGGTAAGAACACATAGAAACTTAAGTGAGATCAAATGGAAAAACAGCCTGTAGAAAACAATTTCTCAATATAATAGAATAATAATAATAATTCATAATCACTATTCTCTTAAATAAATCCAATGAGCATATATGTCTATGGAAACAGGGAGATAGTCGTACATAAAATTGAAAAAAATCACTATTAATTATCCAAGCTATTTCTATACTTAGGTAAGAAATTATGAACTATAACATCTGTTTAAAGAATATATTGTTCATTGCCAGATGTATTTCAAAGATCAGGTAGGAATACTATTATGGCCAAAACTAAGAAGTTTTAAAGAACAATTATTGATTTTGAAAGAGTAATATCACCATAAGGCGAGTCGAAGCTAAATGAAAAGATGATTCTATAGCCAGGCTAGCTACCTGCACGCTGCAGTTGCCGCCTACGAGCGCCAGGGGTGTAGGATGACGCCACAAGCGTCCGATCGTCACCGCGTTACTGCCGTCCGAAACCTGAAGGCATTGCACAACTGAACAGATTTATTTGCTTTCGCGGAAAAAGATCAGCACTTGATCGAAAATTTAAACTGTATATAATTACCCAGCCAAATAAAAAACATAAAAAAGCATGAATCATGCCCCTAAGTTTCAAGTAAATCAATCAAACTCGAAAGTTTCATGACAGCTATAGCAATACAAAAATTTCCTGTCTAATGTAAGCAGACATGATTAGTTGATGCAGCTTGAAAATGACAAATTGAAAAAAATAGAAAGTTTTTTTTTTAAATAACTGACAGCCTGAAAGTTATTTTTAAAAAGTCAAATAATTCTCTAATTGTTTCAAATTTTTAGTTTCTACCTCTGAGGATAAGATGGCGGCTGTATAATTACCTCCTTATAGAAGACGTCAGCATTATTTTGTACATCGTAAGCTAGTACATTAGTGGGCGTGCATACGACGAGCGTATCTGTGGTCTTGCCAGTTGACAGACTGACAGTTGACAGGTTGCCAGCAGCCAGAGCTGTCACGCTCTGGTTGATGTTGAGGAGCGCCACGTCCGAGCTGCTCGTGTTGAGAGACATGCGCCCACCGCCTGCACCCAACTGCTGGTGGGGGTTGTGGATCAGTACCTGAACAAGAAAACAAATACAACATGAGTTTGAAATATATGTAGAATTTCAAGCAGCTTCTACTCAATCTTCTTGTTGTTAATTCTAAGAATATCTTTCATTGGTATATAACAGTTTCAATGCTGTATTCAGACTGAAGGAACTTAATTTAATTCTAAAGATACCTTATCTCTTGTAGTGGACGCAGTAAGGCATGGATGGATGCCATCGTAGCGGCCAATAGTCACACGTCCAGCTAAAAGCTTTTGCTTGAGATTAACTGTAAATGCCGGGACCAGCATTGAAGCAGTTTATTGAAGACTTGAAGGAAATAGAATTCAAGTTCCTTCTACAACTACCTCATTGTGCATTAAAAATCAGTTATTAATCTTGAAAATAATTCTGTAAAATCTGAAATTAAATAAGAAATCTATAATGTCCTTTCTATTGGAATTGGACATAAAAAATGATTGTGTTTAAGTGTAGGTATCTCAGACAAATTAGGACTTCCATTATTGCATTCTTCAGTACACATTACGACTTCACATTATACTGTGCCCTGCAGTATACTTTAGGACTTAACCTTATGGCATACTTCACTAAAAATTAGGCTTTAAAATAAATGTATAATTGAATGCATATCAGAGCATCGCGCTTAGACCCGATGATATGGAGAGAAGTCACGAACAGTTGAAGTTTTCAGCGGCAGAGCCTGCATGCACCCCCACCCCCAGCTTTGGCGTGATGTACATTTAACACGCGTTTAACACAGTTTTCTTCCCCACGGGGAGAGAAAGTTAGAGGAACTTCAGAAAGCTAAGGCAGCTGAAGTCAGAGATGAGCTTTTGGCGTTGTAAGGCAACATTACGGCTGAATAGTCAGAAATCGCTGCAGTCGGGGAGCCATCCGCCGCGGGTAATCATGGCATGCCACAACGGTCGCAACAGCGCCGCTCCGTTACAAAATAATAACTAGGCTGACATGACCAAGCAATGGTAACATTTGCGCATGCCGGTGTGCAAACGTCCAAGGTCACCACTGTGCTCTTCCAAATGGCGGAGTACCTATATGACGTTTTGGAGGATTGAAATCAAGCAAATAAAGGGTGCAGAATAGTATGCGCCTGTTAAAAATCAGAGCACGGAACAATTTCCTTGTTGTTTGTTGCATTGATTATAACGCATGTCACTAGACAACTCAGGTGGCGAATATAGAAGAGCAACAAAAAAATAAATTATAAAAAAACGGTGGGGGAGGGAGAGAGGACACAAGGGTCGCCGTTTTCACAAAGTTGTCCTTCAGAGAGGAGACGTGGAAGCGTGAGGAAGAAGGGTAGACGAAGAAATGCCGAGTGGACTACGGGGGATCCGCAATCGGTCCGAGCAGCGCTTCACCCCCAGTGTATGTTGCTGGGGAGCAGCTGTGGCCCGACGTTAGATGCGTCAATGCGGAGCGTTAGGAGCAGATGTACAGAGCATCCTCAGGTGATGAGACAGCCTAGAATCTGTGGCTCCCGACGGGCTCCATAGACCGAGAGTAAATATTTTGACGCGCTGAACGCTTTGCCCCCGCATAGGAACTGGCAGCACGATGCCATCTAGCAGGAGAAGGCTATGGGATGGCCATGACGGGACCAAAAAATAGTCTATTTCCTCAGAAGATAGAACCGAGTGGAAGAGTGGGGTGGGGTGGTGGGTCTTAGGGGCGCTAGCAAGCCATTGCAAGGGTAAATACGGTAAAAACATCCCCCATTTCAGTATGAATTAGTTAGTTTAGTGGTCACATGTTTACTAGCGCTTCAGCTAGTAAACAGCTATCTCGCTCTGGAAGTCAGGATGAACATCACCAATGAGGTGGAAGGTCTCAATTATCAAAAGTTTCTCAAATAAAAAATTGTTCATCATCCACAAGGGGCGGAAGGTCTCAGATGTCCAGTCCGCTGAAGCTGGCTCGAAAGAAGAAGTGTAAGCATCTCAAAAAGATGAAGTGACAAGGAGGGACAGGTGTAAAGCAACAGAAACTCAAGACGCTCGAACAAGAGGTCGCTTACACGGGACGTCAGCCGCCCGCACGAGAGAGACAGAGAAGGGAAATGTAATGAATCCTACCCACATAATAACTTAACCCCACCCCACAACGGAGACCTGCTCAGCAATTGGGCACTCAGGAACAATCCCCATAGAAAAGCAAAATCCCATAGAACTTCTGATGAGCACAGACACCAGTCAGAAGTCGTCCCTGAGGGGTGTTTGATAGTTGATGAAAATCATTCTGCTGCAGCTGGTACGTAGCTCAATTACTCTCGCACCAAAGACAGGGGTAAATTACATTATTGATATAAAACAAGAAAATGTGCCAGTACCTCGACCAAATAGCACTCACTGTTTAACACTTAAAGTCTCATAATTGGGCAAGATTGAAAGTTTCCTACTTTTTATTGAAATATCATGGCTCCAAAATCATGCAATTTTAGAGAATAATATTCTTGCAGCCCATAAGCATTGCATTTTGATTGATTGGAAGTTGAGTGGCCAGCAAATCTCGATCTAACAGAATTTGAAATTCTCAATACATGTAATTCTGTACTATAAAATAAATGTGAAAATTTATGAAAAGAGAAATTTATCAGCAAAATGTCATCATACTGAGAGATAGTTAAGTCACCAGAGAGATATTTTAAACTCTTGTAGCTGGAATAAGGTAATAGGAGATTTAATGCTTAATAATGGATTAGTTTTTATAACGCTTCTCTTTAACTTCACTTCTTGTTTGTCTGTCTGTCTGTCTGCTACAAATCATATAATCAAAATTTAACACACTTCTATTTATCCTATCGATCTGAAATTTTGCACACTTGCGTAAAGTTGGAGGCAATGCATGAATCAAATGACAAAATAAATGATTTTAAAAATAAACTTTTTTATTTTTAATATTAAATAAATTGAAAAACTAATTTTGTCAGCTACAAATCCTATAACTGATATTTGACACAGTTTTACCTGTCCAATTGATTTTTTTAATATTTGAAAATAAAATGAGAAATTCATTGTACATCTGTAACATTGGAGACATTGAATTCTTTAGAAGTGTTGTCTTTAAAAAAATATCACCATTCTATAAGTCAATTTTGCTCTTAAAAAACAGAAAACATGAACAATTAAATATAAAATTTAGATATATTAATGAATTATTCTTACAGCCACAACAGTCATGATTCAACAAGAATGTACAAAATGGGAGAACATGATTACATTGTTACATAATTTCACTCAAAATGGTATTTTTCAAGGCTTATTCACTTGGTTCTTGGAATAAAAATATTTTTAAAATGTAAAATTTCAAGGAAATTCATTTTTGACATTAGACAGGGTGCAAAGGAGTGCACAGATGTCTGAAGATCTTTGGCAACACGTCAGCTTCAAAATAAAGGTTTTCAGAAGATCTTGTTAGTTTCCAACACATTATTCTTTAAAAACATCTTACCTTGTAATAATGGCAGGGAATCTTAACCCTTTACCACAAACTGGACTTTCAAGTTGTCTTTCAAAAAAGCACCCATATATGTCATTTTTTTTAGAAAAATTTACATGAATAAAAGCAGTCTATTTTTCTGTTTTACATATGAGTACCAAGTTTCAATGTGATCTTGATCTGTCTGTAAATAACCAAAATAAAATTTTACAAAAAATATAGTTTGCAATTTTTTTAATTTAGAGACAGATCACATTTTTAAATTCAGATGGAAAAACTGAAAAATAGATGGCTTTTATTCATATTAATTTTTCGAAAAAATTAAAGAAAACATTAAATTTTTAGAAACCGGCCAAAGGCCAAAAAGGGGATACCATAGAAAAATATCTCCTCCTAGGATTTTCAAGCTACAACATCAAGACTCATATCATTCAATGTGTAAAGACCATGTCTATTGATTGGTTGTAGTTTTTTCAAAATTCTAATTTTCGTGGGTGTGGTGGCATTTTTTGTGAATTTTCCAATTTTTCCCTCCTGCCCCCTCTTTTTTTCAAAATCTTTTCAAAACTAACAAAATTGAAAAAAGCTGTAACCATCCTCTAGATCTCTTATTTGCAAATTGAATGGTATAGGTATTTCTCAATTCTGTAGCTTCAAAACTGTAGGAGATAGTTTCCCAGTGACAATAAGTGCAATGTTCAGGAGAACACGACAAAGCCCTGAGCGCCTGTTGGCGTGCTATATAAAAGCATTCAAGGTGCAAGGATACCAGGGAAGATGTTAGTTGAGCTCAAATTCAGTCACAGATGGAGGGCAGGACTGCATTAGCAGCTTCCTGCATGATAGCTACCAGGTAACTTAAGTGCAGCATCCACAGAAGTTAGTCTTATGTGCCCTGGCTGCTAATTTTTCCTGTAACAATGTGAAAGAGCTCCATGACACCTAACCCTTTTGCAATCTGTTGTGAATGCATAAATCAATGTACAGAGATGATTTTGGTATCATTGGATAGGTCAGAATGTCAGCTTTAAGATGAGCATAAAAACAGGAAAAATCAAAATTTGCAATTTTGTACCCAGATGCTCCCCATAAGTCAGGTGGTGAAGGGTTAAAGTTCTGGGCAGTTCGAGCAACAAATCCACAATTCAATAAAACTGGCTAAATGTCAGCCTCAAATTGAAAAAGAGCATCTTAGTGACACAACTGGCAACTGTCAAGCTTTGCATAGTAGGCAGCAGCCTGCAGGCATGGAATATATTTAGTTGGCGAACATTGACTGGATTTTTTGAGCATTGGTTTTATGGATTTGCAAGACGGGATTCCATTTCTTTGAGCCGTGAATTCCATATCTTGGCCATGCCGCCATCATTGGCGCCATGAAAAGCCATTTACAAGCTGCAAACTTATTTACAAAGTCGCATGCACATGTTATACCAAATATCTTATTTTACCCTAAAAACAATCTAATCGTACAGTAACACTAACATTTGTCTTCACATTAATATGACATGATAATGCAATGACTGCTCTGACGTGACCACAACTATGTGATCTTCAAGGAAAGGTTTTAAGTTGACTTGTTGTTATTAAGTTCTGCAGGATATCTTAGCCAGAACATTGAAGCACTTGTGGATTGTGGAATTTGAAAATTTCTTTGAAACAACATGTTTGCAATGCATAGTGGCAGAGCTGAGAGTTTTTTAGACTCTCTCTCAAGTTCATTTTTGAGTCCTATAAGTAGACCAGCAAAGTATCCTGGATACCAGCATTATCATGCATAAGAAAGTGGTTTAAATCTTGAGTAAATGAGGAAATTAAAAATGAACTGATTTTAAAAATCTCTGGTTTGTCACTATGTAATGCAATGTGCAAACCGCAATTTTTTCAATCAAACAAAAATACTTGACATTAGAGCTGCAAGATTTTATACCTACTAAAAT